AATTGGAGTTCATCACCTGAGCACAAATATGACAAGCTGCAACTTCCTTTACTTTGAGTCTGTTTCCCTCGTGACATTTCCTGCTCGGCCTCCTTCCTATCTTCAAGGACAAGGTTCAGGCAAGTCCAGTCGGAAATCCCTGGTTTCATGCGGAGTTTTGTTTGGTCTTTTTTCCTTTTCCCCGGGTTTCCACAGGCACATTCCTGCTTCCCGGATAGGAGCCAATATTCCCAATCCGCTGAAGCACTGTCACTCCGCGGATGGAAGTAGCTTTTGGGATTCTGTCTGCCTGATTTATAATGATCCTTGTACTTGTTACAACATTTAGTATGTTCTTCATGAGGGATGCGGGGGGAGAGGTGTGGGGTTGATTGAAGTGACTGTGCACTTGTGGGCAAGCGCAGCAACCATTTTGCGCACAGCAAGACCTCAAAAAACATCCAGAAAATGAATGGCCAGTTTATCCAGGGGAACTTAGGTGTCAACCTGGCTCAGTTGGTAGCACTGAGTCAGAAAATGTTAGTTTCATGTCGGGACTTGAACCTTGTGTAGTCTGAAACTTCAATATAATACTGAGGATGCACTGCATTGTTGAAAGTGCTATCCTTGGGATGAGCTGTTAAACTGAGGTCCCATCTGCCTGTTCAGGTGGACTTTAAGATCCCATGGAAAAGAGAGATTCTCCCGTTGTCCTGGCCAGCAATCCCCCAAATAAAATTGATCATTCATTCCATGGCTGTTTGTGGAACATTGCTGTGTGCAAACTGCCTGCTGTGTTTACCCGCAAAATACATTTTGCAGCAGTTACCTTTGAGGCATTTTTGACATTATAGGTGTGTTATTAAATGCAATTATGATTAATATTATCACAAGAGTGGTCTGGCTGAAGAAGTCCCTTCAGCCCATCTAATCTCATCCCTCCAGAACACCCATCCTCTATCATTCCCCTGCATCACTGCATCGAGCTGCTTTTAAATTAATCTAGTGTCCTGACCTCCATCACCTTTCCTGACAATATTCTCTGGTCGTTGATAACCTTCTGCATATAAAACAAATTCCTGGTGTCTGTCCTAAAAATGCCCTTAACAACTCTAAACCTATGTCCTATTGTTCTACTGTCATGCTATCTCCTAAATCAATGGTATGGGTTATTTTTTCAGTCCCATTTAAAATTGCATATAATAACTTGGAGCTAGTTTTGCGATTATAAGTCGTCTTCATCTGTTCCCATAACCGAAAATCAACAGCCTCAATGCTTGTGGTGCTAACGGGGAAGCTAATGTAACAAGAGGCTTTACATTAATTAATCTATTTTAAATAAAGCTGGAAAGTAGCTTATACAGAGTATCGCACAGGGTGACCCTGTGAGCAAACCCTGTGAGTGGCCTCATTGCCTAGCGCTGGCTGGTACTAGCTGCAGGTCCCACACATAATGATGTTCACTTGTGTTCTTCAGAAGGATATTTGCATTGCCAGAATATCTCATCCTTCCAAAACATCCTTCCTGTTACAGCATCGAATGCTTTCTTAAATGAGTCGTAGCGTGCTCCCTGCTAATACGTTTCAGCTGTTATTTACTCTCTGCTGAAAGAAGTGTGAGTGTCAGCCTGGCTCAACTAATAGCACTCTCGCTTCTGAGTCAGAAGGTTGTGGGTTCAAGCTCCATGTCAGGACTTTGAGCTCACATAATTCAGGCTGACACTCCAATGCAGTGCTTGGGAGAAAGAGAGAGGGGCGCTGTATTGGGACGTATTCCCGATGTGAAAGGCGTTATACAAATGTAACTTCTTGTATTAAACATTAAATAAAGATCCTGTCTGCCTGTTTGGATGGATGTTAAAGATCCCATGGCACTATTTAAAAAGAGAAGGGAGTTTCTCCCAGAGTCTTGGCCAACAATCCCCCAAATAAAATCGATCATTCACTTCGTAGCTGTTTGTGGGACATTGTTGCGCGCAAATTGGCCACTGCAATTGCCTGCAAAGTACACAGTCACTACATTTAATAGCAAATCCTGAGAAGTACTTTGATACAACCTCTTGATATGAAAGTGTACGGTATCAAATATAACGATTATTATTTTTTAATATTTGGTGTCCATCATCATGTTGTCTTTTACAGGACAGAACCTCTTCCCTGGTGTTATTGACCACATCCTTTCTCCCCCCACCCCAGCTCCCTCCGACCTTGACTTCTCACTCAGTCTTTGTGACCTGAAAGAAGCTTAAGTATTAAATGTTGTTGTCATTGTTGTGTCCTTGTCTACAGCTGATCCCATGTCAAGTTATAGCTTGAAGGATGCTATTGTGAGGTTGGAGGATTTTCCTTCACCTCAGGAAATGTCTCAGAGAGTGGCTGAGAAACTGCATTTAATCATCAGCGTTGGGCAATGCATTGCACTTGGAACTCCACCCAAATGCTGTCAGCGGAACCCAGGGTCAGTGTGGGCGTCTGGGGAACCGAACAGAGATTTATTTGCTACAATTTTTACTGGTATTTCCCACAGCTCAGATACAATGCTAAAATATAATCGTCCTTGCGTGTGATACAGCACCTAAGACGTTGAATCTTCTCAATGAGCATCACAGGAAATCGCTGTCAAGTCCAGTCACTGTGTTTTGTAGGAACATGCTTAGCTAAGAATTTGTGCACAGCAATGTCCCACAAACAGCCATGAAGTGAATGATCAACTTAACCGGAGGAGTGTTGGCCACGACACTGGGGGGAAAACTCCTTATTCTCAAAGCGCTCCACAAAATATATTGTAAAGTAAGTTGACTGTATATTTTTGTGGGTGGAATGCGGCAGCCGATTGCGAACAGTAGAGTCCCACAAATCGTGTCACCTGAGCGTGGGTGGGTGGGTGGGTCCTGCCGCAATGCGCCGCTCTCTGCCTCAGTCTCGAACTGTGAGCTCAAATCCCGATCTTGGGCTTGAGCCCGCAGTCTTCCAATGTCACTTGCGTATGAAATATCCCATTAAAATAAAAAAAACAGCGACTTTCTCCCAGTGTCCTGCCCAACAGTCCCACCAGATTAAATTAGTCTTTCAGCTCGTGTTCTGCTTGCAGGACCTTGCTGTATTCTGTCCAGCGCCTTGGGGCATCCTCCCGACATGAAAGGCGCTATACAAATGTAATGTTGTTGTTGTTGTATGACTGTATTTGTTGGGTTTGAAGCGAAATGAAGCAAATGCTGCACCTCTTTCTCCATCTGGTGGTCGCTTCAAGCAACTCCATATAGGAACACTTCAAAGTAAGCAACACGGTGTTGTGATTTTCAGTGGTAAAAATCTGACCAATGTTAATGTCAAAAAGCCAATTTCCTGCTAAATTATTATTGTAATCTGTCAAACGTGAGCTTGGGGTTTTTACGTTGGGGGGTGGGGGGGTTGGGGTGGAAATATACTTCCAGCTCCCCAACATTTTAAATCGGGGAGGGAAGGTGATAGTCCCCTTTCCCCACGCCCCCCAGTTCCACTTCCAATGGTCTACCAGTGTAGTCGAACCTTATGGCTGCTGAGGGCTGCAGGTCCTATTTGAGCAATGTCCCCGGGCTGCATAAGCAATATTTTTGTGTTTTCCTTCCAGAAACGTAATAACATTTGTGGGTTATGGAGGGAGAGGGTGGGACAGATGAAATGGAGGGAGCGGGTGGGCGCCTGATGAAATCGGCCCGGGGGCCGCCAGTTGGACCACCCTGGTCTAGACTAACACGCCAGCGCACTGCTGTGGGAGCCCTGCATTGCTGGAGGTACCATCCTTTAGATGAGGAATTAAACCGAGGTCCCGTCTGTTTTTTAAATGAATCTCAGTGCCCTAGTCCCAACAACCTTTTAACCTATCATCCCCTGTCCTCTACCCCATTTTCTCCTTTGTCTTCCTTGCCCTGCCTCCCCCCTCTCTGTCAGCTCTTAAAATCCTCTCCCTCCCAACATGCCCCAGTTCTGACGAAGGGTCGTGGACCCGGAACATTGACTCACTTTCCTTTCTCATAGATGCTGCCTGACCTGCTGAGTGTTTCCAGCGACTTCTGTTTTTGTTTCAGATTTCCAACATCTGCAGTATTTTGCGTTTTGTTTCCACTTGATAATATATTTTGCAAAGCGCTTTGAGACGTCTCAACGACATGATAAGGAGCTATATCAAATGCAATGATAATTATTATATTATTATTAATATCTTTTTGTCTGGTACAGCAGGTATCAGACTCCGGACATATCCCTGAAGTTCGCTCTCTAAAGTTATGTGAAATACAAAGGTTCACTTGGGTAATTTGTGCTCTGTCTCTCTCAACCCTCTCCATCCCACAAATATCTCACAGTGAAGCGTTACAGCTGATTATGAAGCTAAAACGTTGCATCTTAAAAGGGTCGGATGGGTCTCTGCTGGAGGTAGAACTGGATAAAGATAAATTCTCGGCATTACACGTTGCCATGTGAGGAAGACCTCATGCAACATTGATAAAGATTTGGCAGCCTTGGATGCAGGAGAACTATCCTGTATAGTCACAATGGGCTTTTTTTATATAACACACACAGGCTGCTGGTTGAAATGCTGAACTGAAATTAATTTAAAGCCGGATCCAAGGTAACGAGAACCAAAGGCGGAGTTAAGAAAAGTTTAACTAATGCTGGCCGAGAGCCCTAATTGGTGCTGTTTAATAAAAAAAAACCACACACATTCTGCAAAGCAGCTCCAGCCTCAACCTCCCGCAAAGATAGAGAGAGTAAGAAAGGGTGAGTGAAATTGGCCATCAATCATTCTGAAATTAACAAGCAGCCAGACAAAGCCACAAGGACACAGCAGCACAGGCTGTAGGGGGAAAAGGTAGGGAGAGGAGAGATTTTTTCCTTTGGGAAGGGGGATAAAAAGTTGGGTTGGAGGGTGGAGTGTGGGGTGGAAGAGAGAGAAGGGAAGAAATTGTCCCAGGTTCAACAACAACAAATTACATTTGTCTAGTGCCTTTCACGTCAGGAGGACGTCCCAAGGTGCTGGACAGTCGGATCCAGCCACAGAGATGTCGGAGACCGGTTCCATAGGTTCAGGATCGACTGTGGCTTCAGGAAGCAGGATTGTGCTGTTGGCGACCAGAGGAGAATGGGGAGCCCTGGAACAGGCTCTCAAAGGGATAGACAGGGGAGACCGAGACATCTCCCTCTCCGACGAAGTGTGTAACTATTTCTGTTTTGCCAACTATTTCCTTATTCTTCTAACTTTAAAAAAACCAATCAAACCGACTGTTCACTTTTAACTGTTAAAAGGGCAGACTTTTTTATATTTTTCTATAAGTGTGGATTCCTGTAGCATGGTGGTTAACTCAAGTGAGAGGAGCTGGGTCTGATTCCCAAGCAGATCGAAACCTTAGGCAAGTTTCCTTACTCCACACGCGTCTGTTTAGCTAGCAGTATATAGGAACCCGGTTGTTAGTCGATTGACGGTATTCATTACATGACTGTCGGGAGACTGCTGTGCGCATTTGCCCACAAAATACACAGTCAATCCCACTTTACAATATATTCTGTGAAGCACTTTGAGACATCTTGACGATGCGATAAGGTGTTATATCAAATGCAAGGATTATTATTATATAGAACAGGGAGCCATTTAAGTATTCAAGAAAAAATAAGCAACTTTGTCTGATTTTAAGAGATAATTGCAGTTGATTATTTCGGCTTTGAAAATGGCAGGGGCTCCTACACGGATCCAAAATCACACCTCGTCTGAGCCCGTGAGACCTATGGCAATGCTCCCTGGCACTGTATTGAAATGCCAGCCTAAACTGTGAGTCCCAAAGTGGAACTTGAACCCACAACCTTCTGACTCAGAGTCGACAGTGTTACCAACTGAGCTTGGCTTCGATGGTCAACTGTTGAGTCAGTGCTGAGCCCTGACTGTAGAGCCTTTTGTTGTGCATTTTTCAGCAATAAAGAGGATTATCATCCCTAGTAGTCAGACACCACCAGTTACCTCAGTGCTTTAGATCTGGATGGAATTTAAGAATTTTCCACTATCCTGTGTGACTTTAAATTTTAAGGCTTTTTTTTGGTCAGCCGGGTGTCTGACACATGTGGAAACCCATTACCGTGCTTAAGAGTATCCAAACCAAGCTGAGATTTCCATGCATCCCACCTACACATGGAAATCCCGGAGATAGATTGTTGGAATAGAATGCACACTCTCCCTGGAGGGACACATCTTGCTTACCTAATTCTAGAAAGTGTTAGGCACAGGTTGGCAAGAGCCAAGGCTTGGGGACCCGAGTGTGAGTTGAGGTACTGCTGGAGTCTAACCAGCTAAAACCGCATAGCTTGCCATTGACATTGCTGTCCAGCAAACTTTCCCGCTGCTTGTTGAGCTTGGACCACCCTACCTGTTAGGGCTTTGGCTTACTGGCTCAGGAACTGGACTATCGAGACCACCACAGAGGCCTGGCTCATTTCCCACATTCCATTACCAGGCATGTCATTACCTTTTTAAGGCAAAATGGACTCACTGCCTGAGACTAGCTGGAATTTCGGGCCTCTGATCTCTTGAATCTACAAAACAGGTTTTGTCCATTTATAAATCCATTGGTCCATTCAGAATTACTGTGTAAATTGCAAAGAAAGAAGTATAAAGAAGTCTATGTAAAATGAAGTGACTATGTATTTGGAGGCAAACAGGGCAGCCAATTTGCATACAGCAATGTCCCACAAACAGACCAGCTTGATCGATCAGGACACTGGGAGAAACACCTTTCTGTTTTCAAACGGTGCCAATGGGATCTTTAAGGTCCACATGAACACACAGCTAATAGTATACATGTTCATCCAGTTCAAAAGGATGCAAATTATTCCCACCTTTAATTTGACCTGCACCTCTATGAAATGTAAACTTTAAATGCAAATTTTCTATTTTGGTGGTAAACTTTAACTATGGTCCTGTGTTCACCTCACAGTGTAAAATACAGCTTAACAAATTGTTCCCTTTACCAGGGAACATAATTAAGTAGAGGCTGGTGTCTGTCAGAGCGTAAAAAGAGTACATGTGTAAATCCATTCCACAATCTATCCGAAACCCCATTAACAAGATGGAACAGCACCCAGGTCCTAATGGCCAGGTGTCTGATATGCGATTCTGTGTTAATCAAACCCATTCTGAACACTTTCAAAACGCGTTTCGTTCCAACAATCTGCGAGGTCACAAGTCACATCACGAACTTTGTGCTCACAGTCCAGGCTGATGGTTCAGTCCAGCGCTGGGAGAGCATCACCTGGTCACAGATGCTGCCCTCGGATGAGGTGTTAAAACCAAGGATCTGTCTGTCTGTTCAGGTGTACATGAAAGAATTTTATGGCGCTATTTGAAAAGAGGAGGCAGTTTCTCACAAATTTTAAATACATTTGTCACTTAATTTGACACTTGGCTGTTTATGGGACCTTACTGCGTGCAAGTTGGCTACTGCATTCAACAATCACAACATTTATAGAGCGCCTTTCACGTCGGGAGGATGTCCCAAGGCACTGTACAGTTGGGTCAGGACCCGAGCAGGGGGGAAATGGTCAGGGTGAGGGGAGGGAAGGGAGGAAGCAAGGAGGGGGTAGAGAGTCGAGAGGGGAGCTGAAGGCACGGTCAAAGAGAAAGGTCTTGAGACCGGCCTTGAAGGAGGAAAGGGAGGAGGAAAGGCGAAGGCACTGGGGGATGGAGTTTCAGAGCCTCGGGGCTGAGAGGCTGAAGGCCCGGCCACCAACGGTAGGGCGGTTGGGGAGGGGATGTGGAGCAGACCGGAGCCAGAGGAACGGAGGGTACGGGCAGGTAAGTGGGGGGATAGTAGGTCAAAGAGGTAGGAGGGAGCAAGGCCGTGAATGGCCTTGTAGGTGAGGATGAGGATAAATGCAATAACAGATTGCATTTATATAGTGCCTTTCATATCAGGCCGATTCACTTACAAATACACAGTAACTACACTCTCTGTGAAATGCTTTGAGATGTTTCAAAGCTACAGGTTAATTTTATTATGAAGAAGATCCCTTGAGCCCATTTAATCTCATCCTGTAGTACAGGCTGTGTTATGCACGTGTAAAATAGTCACACGGGCCACAAGTTAGCCACCCTTCTGTAGAATACCGACCATACCATCTTACTGTCACAGCTGTGTTTTTAATTAAGTCCCATATCCTGCCCGTCTTCATTCTCTCTGTTGACTTCATGCGCTCAACGATGATACCCTGAGTGAATGGTGCTGTATAAACACAAATTGTTGTTGTTGTAACTTCATTCCATCTATTACACTCTTCGTAGAGAAAGCCTAATGAGTGTCTGCACTGAACTTGCCCAACAAACCCTTCAACTTCTGCCCTTTTGTCCTCCTGCTTGATATCTAAAAGGATGGTTTTGAGTTTACTTTATCTCCATTTAGCACTTTATGCACTTCTCTGAGGATTATAACCCCTCAGACATGTGGATGCAGCTGTGATCGGCTGACTTCTTAGCCATGGCAGCATCACGGTGGGGGGGTGGAGAGAACTATGAGTAACAGCGATGCAACGAAAGGGACTTCTGATGAGATGGTGAGCGCAATTGTATTCTGTTTCCAGTGAAATCCTATCCACAGCAAACATACTGAATGAGGTTATTTCATACATTTTGCTGCACCCGTCAATGCCTTGGGACGTCCTCCTGACACGAAAGGCACTAAACAAATGTAATTTGTTGTTGCTGTTTTGTATTCGTTTAATCATGTTCAAACATATCACGTTTGATAATTTTGCAGCGAAATTTCCAGCTGTCTTTTCCAACGTAACATTTAATTGACTCTGGCGTAACATTTTCGACCACCATAACTTGACCGCAGTGAAGTTAAGAGGTGTTACTCTACACAGACAATTGCTTGAACTGTAATCCGTGTGTCCGTTTGGCAAGCTTTTTGAAGCTGGCATTTGGCACCATAGTGCGATGTGAGAGGGAACTGAGACACAATCTGCCGACACTTAATGGGATCATTCCCTCCCCCCCAAAGAGCAGTCAGATTAAAAAAGTGCATTTTTTAAAAAAAAATACACAGCTGAAACTTCATTTGGAATTCAAGTTATGTGTGTGACTGTGTGATGGTGTTCAAAAAGAGAAGTGAGCTTTTCCTGGTGTCCTGGCCTACAATCCCTTGGATAAAAATAGTCATCCACTTCATGATTGTGTATGGGACATTCCTGTCTGCAAATTTACTGCCACATTTGCCAACAAATCTCATAAAGTGTTCACAAAGCTCTAAACCTTTGAGTTATTTCCCATTGTATTTTAAGCAACCGTCCTCCACATCCATAGACATACACAACTACACACACACCTGGTTCACCAATTGTGATTTTTTTGGTATTAAACTGTTTATTTGTGTTGGATTTTATTGATGTGTATTCATTTACTTACCTCACTCTCTGGAGCTATGTTCCATCTTTGATGCTCTTACCAACCTTGCCATGAACCCTGAGAGGTGAACTATGCAGAGCTCAGCACTAGGAGACCTTTAGTAAGCTGCTGGTAATCATTTTTTTTACTATGAGTAAGATCATAAGATTGTTGGAGAGGTTCAGATGAATCTTCAGCCCATTCTTCCAGCATAGCTGCACACATAACTCCTTCCGTCAATCTTCCAGTCACAGCATCGAGCCGTTTTTTCAATGAGTCCAGAGTCCCAGCCTCCACCACTCTTCCTGGTAACCTCATTCCAGATTTCCTGATGTCGGTCCTGAAATCGCAGGTTAAGAGGCCCTGAACCCATGCTTCCTTTGCTTTCTTAATAACTGGTGTATCCCAACGCTTTGGGACGTCCTCCCGATGTGAAAGGGATTATACAAATGTAATTTTGTTGTTGTTCTTGTTCTTATTTATGCAACTTAACTACAATTTCACACTCCATTTTTCTACAGATAAGTGTAGAAAGATGGAGTGCACAGCAATCTAGGTAAATGAATGGGACTCTATTACGTGTAATACCGTTAGATCTTCAGGAATGAGGATTCAAATTCCGAAAATCGAACTTTGAGGTTTTCAAAGCTATTTCTTCCATTCTGGATTACAGGACTCTGGACTGACCCCCATTATGATCGCTGTTCGAGACAACAAGCTGGCGATTGTGGAGAGACTACTTGAACTGGGAGCCACACTCAGTGATCGGTTAAAGGTCAGTCCTGAGTAACATGCATTATTCCTGGTAATAATATTATTCCTGGTAAGACTTTGTAAACTTTACAGAACCCCCGGTCTGTGTTACGTCCTGAGTTTGTCACTCCAGTGTTACTACCTAATCTATTGCTTTGAGCATGAAGTCCCAAAATGGTCATTGGCCATCACATCATTGTTTGCGGGATATTGCTGAGTGCAAATTGGCTGCCATGTTTGCCCACAAAAAACAGTCACTGCACTTTAAAGTATATCCTGTGAAGAGCTTTCAGAAATCCTCCTGATGTAAGGAGGGGACATGATCTAAGTCTTTAAAGTCATGTGTGACATGGGTGTAGTTCATTTGAGTTGTATCATGAAACATTTTTTTAAAATTCAAGTGGGAGCTACATTTTAGACAAGGATTTTTTTTGCACCAAAAATGTCACCAGCAAAAATGATCCCATTGCACATTTTCACTGCAATTCATAACCGTAACCTGGAGATTGGTGCTTAGTTGGCATCTATTGTATTTTTGGTGCTTAATGGTGTGATCTTAGCTTCATTAGTAGCACCGTCAATACTAGGTCAGAAAGTTGTGGGGTTCAAACTTTGTATCGAGACTCAAGGTCACAGTGTAAGTCTGACCATCCAGGACAGTTTGGGATGGGAACGGGTGTGGTGGGAAGAGAGAGAAGAGAGCTGAACTGAATTTCCATTTGCAGTTAAGACGTTAAACCGAGGGCCCATCTATCTGTTCTTCAGGTGCATGTTGAAAATCCCATGCCTTGTTTCAGAAGAGAAATAAGTTTTGTTCAGTGTGCAATCCTCCAGCTAAAATTGATTATTCATTTCACGCTTGCTTGTAGGACTTCGCCATAGGAAAAATGGCTGCTGAAATAATTTATTGTAAAGTGCCTTGAGTGTTTCAGCCTGGTTCAGTTGGTATCACTCTCATTTCTGAGCATGGACTACTCATGGACTATCCCAATGCCCTCCTCGCTGGTCTCCCCAGCTCCACCATACACAAAATTCAATTCACTCAAAACTCCACTGCCTGGATATTCACCTGCACAAAACTCCGTACCCCCATCACACCAGTCCTTGCCAGGCTCCACTGCTCCCAATTTCTGAATGGATCGATTTCAAGATCTTTTCACTTATTTTAAAATCGCTTCACGCCCTCGCATCTCCCTACCTTGACGGAGATAGACCAGCGAGGAGGGCATTTGAATAGTCCATACTCAGAAACGAGAGTGATATGAACCATGACGGAGCACGGCGTCAAGCTAGGGGAGGTGACCGTAGGCACGGTCAAAGAGGGAGGTTTAAACCTGTAGCATATTATTATCGGAGTGATTATAGCACCTGTAGTTTATTATAGTGATTATAGCTTAGTGGTTAGAGCACCCGCCTCGCATGCAAGAAGACCTGGGTTTGATTCCCGGCAGGGCAAGTTGTTGGGCATGTTTCTTTACTTCATATGCCTCTGTTTACCTAGCAGTAAATAGGAACCTGGTTGTTAGTCGATTGGTAGAACGCATTTCTGGAGGTAATAATACCTTCAAAATAATAATAATAATTTGGTCACTTAATCCATTCAGCCACTACATCCCGAAACTCTGAAACTCTCTCCCTCAATCCCTCCACCTTGCCCCCTCCTTCCCCATTTTCAAATCCCGTCTAAAGACCTTCCTTTTTGATCTTGCTTATGGTCACCTCCCCCCTCCCTCTCCCCCCGGCTCGGGGTAGGATTCTGTCACTGTCAAGTGCTTCAGAACGCTACCCTACGTGAAGGGCATTATATAAATGCAAGTTGTTTTTGTTGCCTGATGCTATATCTTGTTTGACTAATTGACTAGTGTTTATCTAAGATAAACATTGGCTGGCTGCCTCACATAGCAATTAAACATCCTTATATTGAGCTTGTTAAGGCACTGAGTCATTTTTGGACTGTTTCCTGGGACAGAAAGTAGCAGAGAGGCACAGAACACTGGAGGACTCGAACATTTGGCTACTTCACGTGGGGATGTACGGAACCAGGGAAAAAGTAACGTCACAAAGTAATATGGCAACTGGTTTATTGTATTTTTTAGATAACACTATGTCTAAATTGCAATATTGGCAAAAAGATGGGAAGTGCTAACAGAGACTTCCATTTGTTTCAAACATTCACTTCATGGCCAGTTGTGATTTCCCCAAAGCTAATGAAAGGTGGCAGAGCATGTTCCTGTTTACGTGCCTACACTGACTTCCTACCACTCTTACACATCCAGTTCCCTCCTAGTCAGGCTCCAGCGCAGTGCTTGACATGTCATCGTTTGAGACATTAAACCACAGACATTCTGCCTGTTAAAGATCCAGTGACACCATTGGAAAAGAGAATTGAACTTAGGTCTATGGCTTGCAAAGCGAGTGCTCTAACCACTGAGCTACAGGACTCCAGATCATTCATGCTCATGGCTATGGGTTGGTGGGAGTCAGCTTTGTGCAAAATGGAGCTGTCGCAAACTGCCTCCAAAAACAGTGGCTACACTTAACAATAATTACCTTGGCTTGTTTTGAATGCAAAAATGTGATGAATTCAAGTTCCTTCCTTATGAGAAGAGATTATTTGGAACACCCGACTTCAAAACTCATGTCTCCAAATAGCTGACAAGTGCTTGAACGGACCTCCACTGAATAGCCAAGTTTTTCAAATTCCCTTCCCTCAATGTGATGTGCCTACAAATGAGGCCGTCTGCAGAGAGGGAGGTCTCTCAATGAAAAGTCAACGCAAGTCAGAGAATGGCCTGTGAAACAGCCTGGGATTTGAGCTGACCTTTGCAAGAGATTTACTTGCCTTGGGTTTGCTGCTTGCAGCTAGGTTACCGCTGCTAATAACGCTATACAATAAAGCAGAGAAGAGTGCAGAGACACACAGAAGCCTCTGAATTACTATCAGGAACTGGCTTGGATTCTTAAAATGCGAGAGAGAAGCACAATAAAAAGGTTCTGTTAAAAGGTGAATTCCTGCACAGATTTCTTTCCAAGTGAACATTTTGCTCTTGGCGTCTTTGGCTTATGTTTCCCAAGACGTTGTGAGGAGGGTTGTGATGCGAGGAGGTATTCATGTAGCTGCAGAAGTGGATGAGATGAACTTAACAGCTGTGTTGGAGAAAGATAAGCTTTGAATTTAAGGATTTTCCGTAGTTTTGCAAGCTCTGAAATTTTAAGACAAAATAATCTGATAATAATAATCATTGCAATTGATATAATGCTTTATCACGTCTTTGAGATGTCTCAAAGCGCATCACAGAATACACTGTAAAAAGAATTGACCTTATTTTGTGGCCAAAACGCGGCAGCTAATTGCACACAGTAATGTTCCAAAAACTCAGTTAAACAGCATCAGTGCTTTTTAGGTTATGTATATTGTGAGGCTTCATTGTTAGGGATTTAACAGTTTCTGGTTTGCAAGTAGTTTTATTAGGTGATGATGATCTTAGTTTGGCTGAACACTTCCTCTCTGGTTTAAACTTATTATGGGCAGATGATTGAGTTATGAGTGGTAACCATTTCATAGGGAACAGGACGGTCAAAGCCCTGCTCAGAAGCTGTGAAACACTGATGTGGTTTAACACAATTTGTGTTTGATTAACCCCCCACCCCCCGGATGAATACCTCAGTCTGAGGGAGGTGTTGAGATAACTGGGCATTGCACTCATCAATGACCCAAGTGTTTGACTCTTAATTAATATCTCCTAGACTTGTATCGCAAGCTCTCAGACATGAGCCATCACAATGGGCATCATTTGAGTGCGGTGGGAGATGATGCATTGCCCATGGCCAATCTCCACTGGAGCGGTGATTCGTGTGTAGGCTTGATATTGGAACATTTCCAAATTGGGCTTTAAGTCAAGGTTGGCTGGCATTGTTGACAGATTTATTGACTGAATTTTAATCACAGGGACACTGCACAGGCCTGTTACTTTCAACTTACTTTCAACTTGACCATTGCTGGTTGGCAAAAGAGAGACATCATTGACACCTCTGTTGAGTGTAAATGTTAATAATAATAGTTCTTGCATTTGATATGGCACTTTTCACGTCTTCTAGACGTCTCAAAGCACTTCACAGAATATACTGTAAAGTGAATTGACTGTAAATTTGTGGGCGAAACAGCAGCGTCCCACAAACAACCGTGGATTGAAGTGACCAATTTATTATTGTTTTTTTTCTTGAGGGATTATTATTAGGCGTGGGGAGTAAGGAAACTTGCCCAAGGTTTCACCCTGCTGCGAATCGAACCCAGGTCTCTCGCTTGTTTGGTATTGTCTGCCCTGTGACAGGCAACGGCTCAACAAACACAGACCCACGGCAGTAGAGACTTGAACTGTTCATTTTCATCATCATGAAATTATTATTATTAATAATAACAATAAATTCCTGGAATACAGTTACATTTGTTGGAAACCCACAACAGCAATGTGGAACATTTTAGATATATTTGATATGCAGTATCTGCACTTGTACCTGCAAACGATGGAGAGAATGCCAGTCACAGGGAAACCACGCCACAATAGATGGTGATGGGTTTCTTGCTGTCAGATACCCAGCTGACCAAAAAGCCGCTCCACATATTTAAATGGCTATTCAAATCGGGAAATCTTTGTGGATTTTTAGTTCAGAGTTTCGGGTTCAAGCTGGAGTGTGTTCCTTCTCTGCACCCTACCAGCCCCTCAACCCCAAGCCACTGTATCTGGAAAACCTTCCCTAAATCTCTCCACTCGACCCTCTCTGCCTTTAGAAGCCTTCTGAAAACCTACCTATTCAACCGTGGAGCTGTTTCCTCCCCTGCTGCTGTCTCTAAAGTGCATCGAGATGTTGCTGTACTTTATGGGAAAGGCATGCTATAAATACAGTTTGTTGCTGTTCTTGCTGTTTCTGCAATGCGACATTCTACAAAGAAGCAAAGTAAACTGTTATTTGGAAACAGCTTTGTTTGCCCGCAAAACACAGTCACCCCACTTTACAATAATAATAATAATCCTTGCATTTGGAACAGTACCTTATCATGTCGTTGAGACGTCTCAAAGTGCTTCACAGAATATACTGTAGTGAATTGATTATATTTTGTGCTACCAAATCGCAGTAGCCAATTGCACATTTTTTTTTGAAGGGATTATTACCCCCGTTAAGTGATCCGCCAATCAACTAACTCCTACTTACTACTAGGTAAACAGAAGTGTGTGAAGTTAGGAAACTTGCCTTAGGTTCCGCCCTGTCTGGGAGTATATCCTGTGAAGCAGTTTGGGAGGTCCTCCAGACTTGCAATACCAAATCAAGGATTATTATTATTATAGAGCCCCATGTTGTTCATGAAGAATGACTTGAATTAATTCCTCTGAAAACTGTTAAAAAAGGGTTGGATTGTTACGAGGTTCTTACTCCAACTGTCAGTAAATACAATGGATTTCAGAAGTGTTCCTGCATCGTGACGGATGGTGCAAAATCAATGATTAGCTGCAAAAAGGTTTGGTAGGTTTGCTGAAACAAAATGGAGTTGAATGTACTACCATCCACTGCATCAGACACCAGGCGTCTCTTTGCGGAAAACCAGTGAAAATGAGTAATGTGATGACTAGTCTCATCAAAGTGATCAATATTATCTCTAGCGGAAATCAAGTACAGAGTCACAGAAAGTTCAAAAACTTCCTTGAAGAATTAGATGCAGAATATCAGGATTTACCTCTTTATGTTGAGTTGGCTGAATGCGCGCAACTGTCTTGTGCAGTTTTTTATATTTATAAAGGAGGTACTTTCATTTCTCAAGGAACATATAAAGAGCAACACTGTGCAGTTTGAAGAGGACGATCCAACTTACCTATGTACATTGGCTTTTTTAAAAGACATAACAAACCATCTCAACATTCTCAATCTTCAACTACAGGGTAGAATTCAGAATATTTTGCAAATTATGGGGGATGTTGACAGGTTCCGCATAAAACTACAACTGTTGAACTCATCCCTCTTGCAGAATGACCTCACTCATTTTCCTTCATAATAATAATCCTTGAATTTGGTATAGCACCTAATCACATTTTCGAGACGTTTCAAAGCACTTCATAGAATATAATGTAAGTGAATTGACTCTATGTTTTATGGCCATTTATCATGCATGGAACTTGCAACTGAGCTTGATGAGGCTGATTTTCGCAGCTTTTCGTAAATCATAATAGAGCTATTGGATGAATTCAGTGCCAGATTTGCAGATTTTGAGAGTCTGAGGTCCAGTGTCCCAACTATTCAACAATCCGATGGAGATGACGATTGAGCAGTAACCAAAAGATCTTCAGCTGGAGATGTGTGAACTTCAGGGTGACCCTTTGTTCCTCTCAAGGAAGAATGAGATTCATGAAAACTTCTGGAAAATTATTCCTAAGGATCGTTTTCCTAAATTAAATGACTTTGCACCGAAGATGTGTTCTATGTGCTTTTCTCCAACTTGCCACGACTGAATTTGAAGTTGACATTAGAGCTCTGGTTCAAGAGAAACATTTTCCACTGTGTTCACACTGAGACATTTAATGGTTCTCTGAAGTGTCAAGGAAATATATGTTAACTAAAATAATTTGATTATATATAGATTTAGAGTGGATTGTATGAAAATTGGTTTGTATATTGTTGATATTTTGAATTATTCAAAACCATCATTATTCAAAAGTATCTTTATTCTGTTCCTGTGTTAGTTTTGCAATTATGGGTTAATCTCTTTGGGTTTTGTTGAGCATTCTCTGTTGAGCCTTCATGTGCTGAGTTGATATCTTGTGTTTTGACTTTAATACATTAAAAAAAAGTTGCATTTACTTCCATTTGAGATGATCATTATTAAGTAACACAGTCACACAATTTAAAGCATAGGATTTCTATATGATTCTTTATATTTTTGGAAGGAAAAAACAAAAAATATTGCTTATGAGCCCACGGACATCTCTCACATGTAAAATCTGGCCCTCAACACCAAAAAGTTTGGACCACCCTGCATTAAAGGAATATCAGCCAATTAATTTGTTCCTTGGTCAGAGGAAGGTTGGTGTAAGCAGCTTCTCTACCCTAATACATTCTGTGGGGTGTACAGAGACCAATGCCACTGCAACAACATTTATAATAAGACTCATGATGGTTGTGCATTACTTTCAATGCTTTTTATCAATTGCATTTTAAGAGAGCTAAATCCAGCAACTGGGTCATTGACTTGATCTGTATGTACTGTACAGAGTGAGGTGGCCACCAAAGTATTCCACGCAAAAGGCCATAGAGGTTTTCTGCTTGACAGTCTATTAAGTATGTTGGGTGGAACAAAGAGTGCAGTGTCGAGAGCACCAACAAAGATACCAGTTCTTGTAATCTAAAGCATTGTGCCAAGGTCTGTTATATTAGCCGTACATCGTTTATATATCAAAGTATTGCCACCTGTCATATTGTCTCAAATGTCACGGTTCTTTGCTGTCAAGGGTAGTGACTGTGTATTTCTAGGTAAGCATGTTAGCCAATTTGCACACAGCAAGATCCTACAAATAGTTGTGAAGTGACAGACCAATTTCTTTTTTAATTGACTGTTAGCCAGGACCGGCAAAAATTTCCTTCTCTTTTTGTATGGCTGCAAATACACAGTGGGTACTGCAGTTCATCATCTGGTAAATCCTGTGAAGCACTTTGAGATGTTTTAAAGCTGTGATAAGGAACTATATCAAATGCAAGAATCTGTAATTATTGTATTAATGTCACTAACACCCATCTGAACTGGCAACAGCATTATAATGACAGACGATACCTCTGCCAATTCAGTGCTCTCCCAGCTCTGCAATGTGCGCTCAAAGCCTGACCTGATGTTTGAACCTTCTGACCAAGTGGTAAGAGTGTTACCGACTGAGACAGGCTGAATTACTAATCTACCGAGTTCATCTAATGCAAAGGAATCTTCTGAAATGCAGGGAAGGGAGAAAGTGAGTGAGACGGGGAGGAGGGAAAGATTGAGTGACAGAGGGAGGCCAGAGTTACTTTTCCCTACATTCTACTTTGTTGCTTAAACTTTGCTTTAAACCAGGGCCCATCTGGCCCGATGGGTGATTTCATTCAGCCCGAGTCCATTTCCACTACCGGCCTGAAGTTGGAAATGGTTATGGGCTGGATCTAAATCATCCGCTGGGCTGAGTGATTGATAGGAAAGTGAGGGCCGAGTTTCGTGGTTCGAGACAGACAATCGGAGTCTCCCTCGGCCATCATGGGGGAGACCAAGGACAGACACCGAGTGATGCATCGTATAATTTCCTCACAGAAAATTCCTTCTTCTCCAGTGAAAAACTCCTCTATGTCCTTCATTCCCTCACCGCCCCCAACACATCGCCCACCGCCCTCCCACCCTACCTTTGTGACCTCCTGACCTGGCCATTCCCTTTGCTGTGCGCAATTGGCTGCCATGTTTGCCCACAAGTATACAATTCATTTTATGGTATATTTGGTGAAAGGCTTTGAGGCGGCTTGAAAACATGATAAGTCGCTATATCAAATGCAGGATTACTATATTATTATAATTATTCAGAAAATCAAATTATTCAATGCAGAGTAGGAAGAGTTCAAAGTCAGGTGAATTGAATCGTCAGATCAGCACCCACATGGACCTTCACCTCAATTTCTCAGTAGAATGTAGTTCAGAAATTGCCTGTATCGTGAAGCTGTTGTGCAAATCAATGACTGGAACAAACTGGCCACAGCCACATGAACCTGTGACACAACAATAGCTGCCATATAATCTCACTGACGGGGTCCTGAATGCAAAAATTACCCAAACCAAACTCCATACCCACATCTCACCAGTTCTGGCCAGGCTCCACTGGCTCCCCTTCACCAAACGGATCGACTTCAAGATCCTCACTCTTGCGTTCAAATCCCTTCACTCCTGGCACCTCCCTACCTCTCCAACCTGCTCCCTCCACCAATCCACCACCCGGCAACTTTGCTCAACTTCGCCAACAGAGTCAGGCTCACATGACATCTATTTGTTGAGGAGGGTGGATTTACGGTTACAGGGACAGTACCAGCTCCAATTGAGCTTTAGGAAGCGAGCATAAGTAGAGAGAAAGTCAATGGTTATGGGATCAATGGTGGTGGTCAATGCACATTGGATGAACGTACTTGTGAGAAGAATAGCCTTGATGGACTAGTTTGACTTTCCATGTCATCTTCAGCTCTTATGATTTAAGTTGATGCTCACCCCCAATGTACTGACTTTGTTGTAATATGTTCCCCATTCTTTTATTTCAGGACGGACGCACCGCTCTACACTTGGCTGCAGCCCACTCAAAGGATGAAATTGTTCGGCTGCTTTTGGCGAAGAAAGCGGACCCCAATCTGACTGGCGGAGTAAGTCCACAATCACTGCACTGCCTGTGTGATATGTATTGTGTGATAGCATTTGCTTCCGAAACACATTGAGGTTTATAGCACCCCATTCAATAAAGGGGGCAAAGTTGTGCAGTTCGTAAGAATATAATAACATAAGAATTTGCTAGGCGAAAGAAGACCAAGGTCCATTGGCATTAAACTCTGCCACTCGGTTGCCAGACTCCGCCACTGTCTAGCTCCCCATCCCCAGAGGATCGAGTTCAAGATCCTCATCCTCACTTTTAAGGCCATCCATGGCCTTGCCCCCTCCTACTTCTCTGACCTGCTGACTCCCTACCAACCTGCCTGCTCCCTCCGTTCAGTGAGCTCCGGCCTGCTCCATATCTCCCGCCTGGCCTGCTCTACCATCGGTGGCCGGGCTTTCAGCCTCTCTGCCCCCACACTCTGGAACTCCATCCCATGATCCCGGCGCCTCGCTTCCTCCCTTGCCTCCTTAAAGGCTGGTCTCAAGACTCTTCTCTTCGACCCTACCTTTGGTCTTCCTCTCACCTTCCCTCACCCCTACACTTCCCCTCCCCCATGCTTGGGCCCCGACATCTGACTGTTCAGCGCTTTGGGACGTCCTCCCGACGTGAAAGGCGCTCTATAAATGTAATTTTGTTGCTGTTGTTGAAGGCTTCCACCATAGGGAGTCTTATGTTGCCCTCTTTGTCTCATCTTTCTCATTCTCCTCACTTTTGGGTGTCACTTGCAAGATTGATCACACCTGCTACGATATCTCGGCTTCATGACTCTAGTCTTTCTTTCACCAATCTTTTGTGGACGAACTGCATCCTTGAAAATGTTTGATAATTTTTCACCTTTTATAGTTTATGGTACTTTATGACACTGGGTAGTTACGCTTTTGTTCTGTGCCACAACATTGCATTGGAAGATGTTGCTTCCTTGGGCGAAACCTTGGGCAAGTTTCCTTACTCCACACAGAGCCTAATAATAATCCCTCCAAAACCAAAAACAATAATAAATTGGTCATTTTCAATCTACGACTGTTTGTGGGACATTGCTGTGCGCAATTGGCTGCCGCGTTCACCCACAAATATACAGTCAATTCACTTTACAGTGTGTTCTGTGAAGCGCTTTGGGACGTCCTCCCGACGTGAAAAGCGCTATATCAAGTGCAAGGATTATTATTATTATTATATTATTATTGCTGCTCACATTACTTGCACATGATAAACCTTCTGTACTTTCCTTATAAGTTGTGCCAATAGAAAAGTGTAGCCGTAATTTTTCTGCAGAATCGGCCATAAACAGCCACCTCCGCTACAAACCCATGAAACAGTCTTGATTACGGCTGTTTATAATAATAATAATCCTTGCATTTGATATAGTACTTTTCACTATGACCAATTTATTATTGTTTTTGGTTTTGGAGGGATTATTATTAGGCTCTGTGTGGAGTAAGGAAACCAAGGTTTCGCCCTCTGCCTGGAATTGAACTCAGGTCTCTCGCTTGCAAAGCGAGTGCTCTAACCACTGAGCTACAGGACTCCACCGCAACTGTGGGTGGGAGGCTCTGGACGTGCATACAGGGTGCAGCGCAAGTGGGAAATGGCTTCGCTCCACTCTGAAGGAGATACATACTCAAGCGCTCTGAGATGCCGTCCGGCGTGGAGGACGTTATATAAATCCAAGCTGTTGTTGAAGTTGTTCTTGTTGAAACCCCGCTGTTGGGATTGTCTGTGAGTGTGTGTCTCTCTGTGCTTGTAAGTGTCTGTGTAAGTGTGTGTGTCTCTCCTCTGTATGTGTTTGTGGATCTCTGTGGAGACAAAGTGTAGACGGTGTGAGAGGTAGGATCTGAACCACTCAAGGACAGAACCATGAAAGTTGAGGTGAGAGGAGAGGCGGTGGGGGAGGATAGAGTGGTCAACGGTATCAAAGGCATCAGAGAGGTCAAGAAGGATGAGGAGACAGAGGAGGACGAGGGGACAGAGTGACCAGGGCTCGCTCTCTCTCTATGTGTGTGTGTTTGTGTCTGTGTGGGCGTGTCACTCTAGTGTGCGTCTCTTTTGTATGTGCTGGTGAATGTCTGTGAGTGTGTGTCTCTCCCTATCTCTATATATTTGTGCCAATCTTCAAAAAACCTTCCCTGGACCCATCCCTGTTCTCAAAGTACTGCCCCATCCCCAACTTCCTTTTCCTTTTCAAGGTCCTTGAACAAGTCGTTGTTCCTAGCTTCGCTCCTTCCTCTCCCATCACTCTCTGTATAAACCCTTCCAATTGGATTTTTGGGCTGCCCACAGCACAAAAACAGCCACGGTCAAAGTAAAAATCTGTGACCAGGGCTCCCTGTCTCCTCATTCTCGTTGACCTCTCTGATGCCTTTAATACCGTTGACCACTCTATCCTCCTCCACAACCTCTGCTCTCACCTCAAGCTTCATGGTTCCGTCCTTGAGTGGTTTAGATCCTACCTCTCACACTGTCTCCATTTTGTCTCACAAATGGCTTCTCCTCTAGCCCTCCTCCAGTTGCTGAGGAGAGGACCGAGGACAACGACTCTGTCCTTGGCCTTCTCCTCATCGGTGAACACACTCCCTCTTGGTGATATCATCCACACACACGGAATCAACCTCCACAAGTATGTGGATGATGCCCACCTCTACACAATTTGCATCAGTGGTAAATTTCACAATTTGCAGAAACTATCAGAACTATAAAGGTGGTGTCTTACATCACAGAAGCTTCCTGCCCTATCCTGTGACTCGTGTAGCTCTCAATATATAATATATAATCCTTCCATTTGATACACTATCCTCCGGGTGGAGGAGGATAGCGGCATCTTCTTGGAGCTGAGCTGTCTCTAAGGTGATCTTTTTGCCATTTTTGTGTCCGTTGTAAGATGTTATGGTCCGGCACCTGAAAACATATCATTTACCTATTGTGCCACACCATGACAGGGAGCACTCCCAGTTCAACCAGCTAAGTTTAAATGGTGTGAAAGGTGCGATCCAATGTAATATGTTGTACAAAATATACAGTCAATTCACTTTACACTATATCCTGTGAAGCGCTTTGAGACATCTCTACGATGTGATAAGGCTCTATATCAAATCCAAGGATTATTTTGAAATTGGTGGGTACAGAGTTGGACAGAATCTACCTTGGGTGCCAGCCATTGAGCCGTCGAGAAGGACATGCATTAACAAGACCATCGAAGGGGGGAAAAACAACTGGACACATACACAGAATATTTTTAGTACTTAAGTACTTGCAGGATTTTATTCAATTGGAATTGGAACACATGTGTGCGAAGTAGCAACTTGTATTCAGATGAGGTTCCCTTCAAGCACAGTAGATCTTGCTCACAAACTTCCATGAAGACTTGGTAATTCGGCCCAAACAAGATTTTGACTAACCTTTCCGGTTACAGTGTTTTTTATGATGTTTTTGTTTTCTCTTTGGTCTTCGGACAAAATGTGGTCTTACGTATGTGCTGGATTTTCGCTTCGATCTTCGACCTTTTTTTCTCTTGTGTGTTGTTTGATGGCCGCCCTTTTTCTTACACAATTTCATGGTTCACAGTTTACTTATCACCCTGACTTTGTCTTGAGCCCTGTTTATCGCCTGCTTTATAGTCTTTCACCAGTGAGGTGTATTATGATGCAACAACGGCTCTGACTGCCTTATAAGGCTCTAGGCTCCCCCCCAACGTGTGACATGATGACTAATAATGTGGGTGACGTTTCAAAGCCTTATAAGGTATCGCAGCGACCAGCAATTTTACACATATATTGTAAGACTTTTTAAGACTTTTAAGACATGTATATTTTAAGACGTATATTGTTGTACTAGTGGTTCCCAAGAAATTTAAGTACAATATGTTGCCTACTCGCATCTGCTCACTCGCCTGCTCGTGGGCATAAAGCTTTATAACAGCTGATGCTGGGGGCAGGGGTGGGGGAGGAGGGAGAGAACGGATGGACAGACCACTGGCCCCAGCATCACAGCTCTTAAATTCTCCTTATAATTGTGTGTGGAGGGTAATCATCGATATTCCAGGGAGGCGACAACTGGATTAAAACAAATGTTTGTTTGGCAGCACTTTGAGTCCGTTGGAACTTACTATTCCATTCCTTATTTAAGGACATCATTGAACCGTGTTTGGGAAAATACCTTCTCCCCCACCCCTTACCCCTGCCCGATAACACTTGCATTTGATCCGATTTGATATTCTGTTTCCTTCTAATGCCAAATTTACCTGCAAACTCAATTCAGCCTAGATTGTGAGCTCAACGTAAGCCTTGATCCCACAATTATTAGACCCAGAGGCAAGAGTGCTACCAGCTGAGTCAAGCTAACACATCAGTACCGAAGAGGGCCAGAACAGGCCTTGTGCCTGACTGAGTCCTCAGTGTATTGCGTGTTGCTACCAAATACCAAGAGTGTTTGGGTTGGAAGTAAAGCTCGTGGGACAATCAACCTTTTTTTTTTTAACCCCTTAACAAACTGCGTGGCCAGAAAAGTTTGTTCAGAGTCAGAAGGTGTTTGTAATATGGCGGTTAAGTAGGTTTCAATGTTGTTCCTGCCTCTGATATCTTCACAGTGCAAATGGAAAAATAGTGCCTTCTTACAATGCCTACAGCATCAAAACATACAGCATCGGAATGCCTTACAGAATACACAGGCTCTGAAAAACACATCAAAGTCACAGTCAATCCACTTTACAATATATCCTGTGAAATGTTTTGAGACGTCTCAACGATGTGATAAGGCTCTATATCAAATGCAAGGATGATTATTATTGTTATATTGTTACATGCAATATTTCTGCCAAGATTCCTTAATGGGGAATCTAAGTGGTGTGAATGGAAGGAATTCCTTTCGGTAACTGGCAGTAGATCACGAACATCTCTCCTACGTGTCGTACCTCAGGAGCAGAGGCCCTGATGGGAATCTTAAAAGGGATTAAGATTAACCAGGAATCCAGTTAAGAACACTGCAAATTAGACGTCAGCATTGTGTTTGTCTGAAAGCCTCAGTTTGTCTGCAATGGTGTGTGAGTCCCATTCAACCCACCCGTTTCTCCTTTCCAGTCCAAAGATCAGCTGTCCCTGCACTGTGCAGCCAACCGGACCAGCAGCTCTCTCTCCATCGTACAAATGTTGCTGAGGGCTTCACACAAAGACGCTCGATTGGTCCAAGACAAGGTACATATCGCTCATCAGTAGCAGAATGCAATCACCTCACCTGAGCTTGTGTGTGTGTGTGTGTGTGATCACAAGTCACAGTTTGAGGGGAGGGGTTGAAGATTTGGTGACTTGATATGTAATGGTCATGTGTGAGATGCAAAGCTCAGCGTTTCAAAGCTGCAAATCAAAATACTGGTCTTACTTTAAGATTTCGGCAATAGCTTTGTGACCATTTCCAACCATGAGAAACCACCTTGTGGAGTTTTTCCTGGGATTTGTCAGATTAGCATCAGGATAGTAACCAGTGACTGTTACAGCAACCATTAATGTTACAGTGTAGGATGTGTTAAGGCAGCAGTTTGGCCACTACTGAGCTTGCTCCCGTGCCACCCTCTCACACTGCTCCATGTTTTCACAGGACGGCTGCTTGCCATTGTTTTTAGCCATTGAAATCGGGAATGTCGCAGTCTGCAAGGAGCTGCTCAGTGTCAGTGCCGACATCCAGCTCAGGACACAAAGAAAGGTACAAGGAGAGAAATATCTGGTTCACAAACTGATTCAGCATATACTACAACAACTAGCATTGATTCAGCACCCTCATGTTGGGAGGATGACCCAAGGCGCAGAACAGTCGGGGATCAGGACCTGAGTGTGGGGCGGCGGGCAGGGTTGGAATGAGGGACGGCAGAGAGGTAGGAGGGCGGCTGAAGGCACAGTCGAAAAGGAGGGTCTTGAGTCATGCCTCAACAAGACAGAGAGTGGAGCGGAGGTTAAGAGGTTAAGGACTTAGTTGCTGATGCTCAGTTGAACAGGAAAGTGCAGGTGGTCTGAGTTAGCCAAGTAGAGAGAGTGAGCAGAAGAGGCGTCAGAGTAGTTCACAGAGGTGAAGGGATTTATAGGTGAGGGTGAGGTTGATCCACCTGGAAATGGGAACAAATAGATTCTAGTGAGGACTGAGGCAATGAGAGTGTTTAGAAAGCGAGGGCTGAGAGCTTGACCGCTGTTGGTGGGGAGGGAACGCAGCAAGGTATGTGCAGCAGAGGCAGGTTTGAGGGACTTGAGGGATCTAGAGGGACTTTTTTTTCATAGATTCATAGAATGTTACGGCACAGAAGGAGGCCATTCGGCCCATCGAGTCTGTGTCAGCTCTTTGACTGAGCAAGTCACTTTCACTAACCCCAGTCACCAGCTTTATCCCCATAACCCTGCAAACCCGTCTTTCCCAGATACCGATCCAGTTCTCTCTTAAAAGCTGTTATCGAATCGGACTTCACTACCCTTTCAGGCAGATCATTCCAAATTCGAACAGCTTGCTGAGTGAAAAACATTCTTCTAACCTCCCCTCTGCTTCGTTTGGTAGATATCTTAAGACTGTGACCATGGGTCACAGACACACCTACCAGCGGAAACAGCTTTTCCTTATCTAGCCTGTCGAAACCTTTCATGATCTTGAAGACCTCTATCAGGTCCCCGTGTAACCTTCTCTGCTCTAATGGGAAAAGTCCTAACTTCTCCAGCCTGTCCTCATAGCTAAGGTTCCCCATTCCTGGTATCATTCTCGTGAATCTCCTCTGCACCCTTTCCAGTGCTTTAATGTCCTTCCTGAAGTAAGGTGCCCAGAACTGGACGCAGTACTCCAGCTGAGGGCTAACCAGTGTTTTGTACAGATTAGCCATATATGCCCCTACTAATAAAGCTCAGTACACCAAATGCCTTTTTTACTGCCTTATCTACCTGCCCCACTACCTTTAATGATTCGCTTACTTGAAAACCCAGATCTCTCTGTACGTTCACCCCCCACCTTGACGTCATCTGGCCGAAGCTGGGGATAGGGAAATAACACGGGTCAGTGCCCTTTCACAGGGGAGGGCGAGGCAAGGGTGTGGAGAGGGTTTGAATAGTAATAATATAATAATTGAAAGATAAGACGAGGAAATGGAAGGCAATTGATGGACTGCGGGGACATTGTGGATAAGTGACCTACTGAGGAAATGGTGTGAGTAACCCTCCTGCGTTTCCTCTTCAGGACACCGGAGACACGGCCTTACATGTCAGCAGCAGGAAAAGAGATGCCGAGCTGGCAAAGCTCATGGTGGAGTACGGGGCTGATGTCGATTTCCAGAATGTGAGTAGAGTCCGCAGCAAATCACAAGATCACCAGAGAGGTCTCCTGCCTGATCTCAGCCTATAAGACAATAATGACAATAAATAACAATTTAGATAAGAAAAATCTCTTCGGCCTATTTGATCTCATCCTTCCTGATACCCACTCATCAGAGCATCGAGCATCCTGACCAGAACCGTACTTCCTGGTAACCCAGTTCCAGTTACTAATTACCTTCCAGGTCAAGAAATGGTACTTAATGCTTTTTTTGTGGTCTGATGCCTGCAGAGCCCCATCACCATGCTGCCTGACCTAATTCTAACTGCCTTAGTTTTGATTTTAAGGCTGTAGCCCCCTTGTATTGGATCCATCCAGGAACAGTGTTGCTAGTTTATTTCCCCCATTTACATCGATTGATATTACACAGACAGAGGCCTTACAGCCCAATCAATCCATTGCACATCTCCAATCTTTCTTTGATAGTTGGATTCACTCATCCCTGGTAACATCTCTGTAATCTACACTGTACTCTTACTAATGCTTCTGTTCCTTACTAAGAAACTCCCATTAGGAAATCCAGGAAACTGGACTCCCCCTCACACCTCCCTCAGGTGATGTGAAGCTACCTTTGTTCAGGCCTTGCTTGTTTTCTCATGTGCAGGAGGAAGGCCAGACCGCTTTACATGTGGCAGCCTGGGAGGGCGATGAATTCCTGCTCAGGTTTTTCTACCAGTGCAAAGCTAACCCGAACATCCCAGACAAGGTACCTCCAGCTCGTAGCATGTGTTTGCAAAAGTGTAACAATAATGGCAGTCACTCTTAACATGTCCGAAACTCAGCTTAATCTTAGTCCGCAAGATAATAATAATAACAATAAATAATAATTCTTGCATTTGGTATAGAGCTTTGTACGCCAGGAGGACATCTCAAAGCGTTTCACAGACTTCACTGTAAAGTGAAGCGACTGAGATCATTTTGCCTTGAAATTTAAAATGGCGCAAAACTTTTGGGACTGTTTTCTCACACAATGTATTAATTTGGAAGCCAGTTTCTTTTTGTTAAGAACTAGGTGAGATGAAATCACAATGCTTCTTAACAGATTCAATATTAGTTAACTCCTCAGAAACTTGATACATTCGTGAGGGAGAAGGAAATGAAGCGATATGGGTAAGAGGAATAGGAGGGGTGGAGTATAAATACCATATCGGCTGATTGAGCCGAATGCAGTTAACATGCTGTAACTTTCTGTATAATCGGTCTGTGGCCAGAAAGTCTAGCTAATCTTATGTAATTCTGGAGATTATTTTGTGGAGGAGGGCAAGAGCACTCGTCACTCCAGGGGAAAATGGCTCGGTGACGAGTTACCAGAGTGGTGAGTTAGGCATATTTCACTCTTAATTTGTAAAATGCAGCTGGGATATTGACAGCATGATTTAAGTGGTAGTGAAAAGCTAAGCCAAGGTTGAGTTATCAGTTTACTGTATTTAGCCAATATCCATAAAGGTGCACCCTTGGCCTTATCCTCTTTCCTGATTTACACGCTCCCTCTTGGGGATATCATCCGCAGACATGGGGTACATTGCCACAGTATGCGGACGACACCCAACTCTATTCTTCCACCTCTCTTTGCGACCCCCAGTCCTGTGATGTTCTGTCAGCCTGCCTGTCAGATCTCAGGGGCTGGATCAGCAAACGTTTCTTCAGCTGAACGTTGACAAGACGGAAGCCATACTCTTTGGCTCTTGTCAACATCTAAACTCTCACGGTCCTCACCTACTCGACCTCCCCCTAAACTCTCCGAACCCGTACGCAACCTAGGCATCAGGTTCGACCCCCAATTATTCTTCCTCCCCCACATCCGGTCCCTCACCAGCACCGCTTTCTTCCACCTCCGACGCATCGCCCGTGTCCGCCAATACCTCTCTCCGAAAGCTGCTGAAACCCTGGTCCATGCTTTTGTCACCTCTCGGCTGGACTACTCTAACGCCCTCCTCACTGGCCTCTCCTCCACTACCATCCATAAAATCCAGATTATTCAAAACTCCGCCGCCCGCATTCTCACCCACACAAACTCTGCTCCCCGATCACCCCAGTCCTTGCCAGACTGCACTGGCTGGCTGTCCCAGAGAGGATCGACTTCAAGATCCTCAGCCTTGTCTTCAAATCCCTCCACTCCTCTGCAGCCTGCTTCCTCTCTGACCTCTCTCCTCAAAACAGTGCCCATTGCCTTCGTTCCTCCAGGTCTGGCCTCCTCCTTGTCCGGCGAGTCCTCCGCTCCAACCTCGGCGGCCGTGCCTTCAGCCACTATTACCCGAGGCTCTAGAACTCCCTTCCTCACTCCCTTCGCCTCACTCCCTTTCTTCCTATTTTCAGGTCTCTGCTGAAGACCTTTCTTTTTGACTGCGCCTTTGGTCACCTTCCTCCCCCTCCCCCTAGCTCGGCCCCGGGATCCGTTACTGAGAAGCGCTCTGAGATGCCATCCGGCGTGGAGGGCGCTATATAAATCCAAGTTGTTACTGTTGTTGTTGCACTGAAACCTATAAGAAATCTGCAGAATTAGATGCTGATTTAATATCAGGCTGTTTCCTTTTCATCCTTGTTTTGCAGCTGGATCGGTCACCATTGCATATTGCAGCTGAGCGAGGACACACCAATGTGGTTGAAGTCCTGACCGAGAAATTCAAGTCTAATGTTCTGGCTAGAACAAAGGTATTTCCTTAATATTTCCTTATCTGTCCAGGTTCAAGAGGCAGGTTTGAACCACCTACTTGTGTGCTGCCTACGCTGGTGTTAAGACACCGCAAAATAATTTCCCTTACATTTCTGAGCAAACTATTGGAAGCACTGAAGCTGACAAAATAAGAGACAGCAACCCCTCATTGAACCTTTCGTGGTTTCTTTTAATTGCAGGACGGAAGTACCCTGATGCACATCGCGTCCCAGTGTGGCCACCCTGACACTGCGCTGGCCTTTCTGAAGAAAGGCGTCCCTCTACACATGCCCAACAAGGTAAGAATGAACCAAAACATGACGTAGGAATGTGGGAACGAACAGGAGTGGGTCACACAGCCCGACAATGGCATGTTTTCTGATCTCACTTCTAACCGCCTCGACTTCAATTTTAAGACAAAGTCATCTTCTATTTGTATCCATTTACCAGGGAGAAGAGTCGCTCATAAATTAATTTAAAGGGAATTGGATAGATTTGTGAAGAGGAGGATAATGGGACCACAGGCAGGAGAGTGGGATAAGGTTAGGTGAGGAAAGAACATACCAATGAAGACTGGATGGGACAAAGTGTCTGGTGTGAGTTACTGTAATCAGTCTAAGTGATCAATATGGGGCACCATTGAAAACAAGAAAGCTTTGCCAAGCTGGGCTACCAACCACCACACCCCCTTCCCATCCCATCCAAAGGGGATGTTATAGAGGTGTATACAATTTTACATGGGATTGAAAAAGCAAACCCAGAACAATGCTTTCAAATGCATCAAGACAGTGCAACAAGTACAGACAGGTTTAGGGTTGCGTAGGGCAATTTCACCAGGAATTTCACCAAAGGACTGGAACAGGTTACCAGAACTCTGGGGTTCATTTAAAACACACAGCTCAATAGAGGACAACGGGAGGACAATAGGGTGGGAATTCTGGAAGGATGAGATCAATGGGCCGATGGGCCTTCTTTATCCAAACCAGTTTTGTGATCTTGTGAACATGAATGCAGCACAAAGGATCTTTGGGGAGTTGTACGTATTTTTTTATTTGAAAGGATCACGTGGATATGTGATATGGATTCGCAGAGACTCTTTCCGTGTTTGTCTCCAGGGCCTCAGACGACTTCCCCACGTGAAAGGCGCTATATATAACCGCAATTTGTTGTTGTTGTTTTCATAGTCAGGTGCGGTGTGCCTCCACGCTGCAGCGAGGAGGGGCCACACGGCTGTAGTGAAAGCCTTGCTCCAGAAGGGGGCGCACGTCGACGCTAAAACGAAGGACCGCTACACAGCGCTGCACATCGCGGTGCAGTACTGCAAGCCCATGGTGGTGCAGACACTCCTGGGCTTTGGGGCTCAGGTCCAACTTAAAGGAGGCAAGGTATGGAACCATCCCACTAGTTTCCTTACTCCACACACAAGCCTCTGTTTACCTAGCAGTAAGTAGGTACCTGGTTGTTCATCGATTGGCAGATTGCTTTTCCGGGGGTAATAATTCCTTCAAATTAAAAAAAAATAATCATTTGATCACTCAATCCACCACGGCTGTTTGTGAGACACTGCTGTGCGCAATTGGCTGCCGCGTTTCGGACATAAAATATACAGTCAATTCATTTTGCAATATATTCTGTGAAGTGCTTTGAGACGTCTCGCAAATGTGATAAGGCACTATATCAAATGCAAGGATTATTATTATTATGTCATGGGTTTGTCCCTACAGGCACAGGAGACTCCGTTACACATCGCAGCTCGAGTTAAGGAAGGAGAGAAGGTGGCGGAGATGTTGCTGAAGAGTGGAGCTGATGTAAACACTGACCAAGAGGTAAGAAGAACCCATGAGTGACTCACGCTCAACACAAGGGCTTTCCATATAGGGTACCAATGTTAATAAGGCTTTGGTTTGGATTGTATGCGAGCCTAACAGTTAGGTTGGTCCTAGCTGGATAAGTAGGAAGTTTGCTAGTCAATGCTCCCAATAGCAAGCTGGTTAAACTCCAATAAATATTCAGTGGGCCCCCCAAAGCTTTGGCTCTTGCCAACCTGTGCCTGGTACTTTCCGAGATTAGGGGAGTGACGTGCGTCACTCCGGAGAGAGAGAGCATATTCCATTCCTGGCACAATGGCAGCATACATATATGGAACTTTCAGCACTTTGGTGGATACTCTTAAGGGAGGTGGTGGATTTTCTACCTATAATCAGCCTTCAGCCACTACCCCCCGAAACTCTGGAACTCTCTCCCTTAATCCCTCCGCCTTGCCCCCTCCCTCCCCACTTTCAAATCCCACCGGAAGACCTTCCTTTTTGATCGTGCTTATGTTTTGATCATGCTTGCGGTCGCCTCCCCCCTCCCTGTCCCCCTGGCTAAGGGTCAGACTCCGCTGCTGTGAAGCGCTCTGGGACCCTACCCCTTGTGAAGGGCGCTATATATAAATGCAAGTTGTTGTTTTATTATCGGGCTTCCTTTATTCAAAGCCGCTGGGCGTGACTGTGATTCCAGTCTGTTTGCGGGTCTGTTTTTACTCGCCTATTCATTGGGCTTCTCCCTGCGACGTTCTGCTGCCTGCGTTCCCCTAACAGAATGGTGAGACGGCCATGCACATCGTGGCTCGTCACGGCAACCTGAGGATGCTGCAAGCGCTGCTGGAGGAAGGCGGAGATTTAACCTGCCAGTCAAAGGTAAGCCAAAACCTGCTGCTCTGCACAGGGTCAGAACATGGCACAGATAATGAAAGGGGGAAGGTAGGAGGAGGCACTTGACATAGGGGTTCGACTTCCTTTTCAGTGCGACGGCTCTCAATGGTGTGTGATGGGCAGAATCTGAACCTCTGTCGCCAATAATAGTGTGTCGTTGCGCCAGGCTGTGTGTTAGCACAATGCACCATCATTAACACAGTGGTCTGATGTTGTCTGTCTGTGTTGGGGATATCTATGGTTCTCTCCTAGGTCCTGTTCTCCAGTCGCTAAAAAAAGATAGGTTTCCCCGGGGAAGGCGCAAAAACAAGCAGCGCATTTACTTTCATTGGATGTGGGCAGCCCTGGGTTTGAAAGACCAGGGGGTTTGAAGGAGAAGGGAAGGAAAGAAAAAGAAAACGTTGAAAAAAGCAAACAGGATTGAACACTGGAGCCCGGTGTTTGGTGAGCAGCGACCACTGTGTGTAGTTGATTGTGACTGTCATCTCTTGGCTCAGGCCGGGGAAAACCCACTGCACATCGCGGTGAGGTACTGCCATGTGAACCTAGCGGAAGAGATCCTCAACTACCTGGCCAGCAAGAGGAGCCACAGCGATGCTGTGGCATGCGTCAATCAGGAAAACAAGGTGAGGGAAGAGCACCAGGGGTCAGATTGGCACAGTCGGTAACACTCTCGACTCTGGTTCAAGTCCCACATCGGGACTTTGAGCTTGCAGTCTAGGCTGACACTCCAGTGCCATGCTAGGATGTGCTGCATTGTTGGAAGTGCCATCCTTTGGACGAGATATTAAATCGAGGCCTCGCCTGACTATTCAGGTGGGCATTAAAGATCTCTTACCACTGTTCAGAAACAGAGGGGAGTTACGTAGCATTTTATAGCATCTGATGCCAAATTATTGAATTCAGTCTCGACTTTAAAGTTGGTTTTCTATGAGTTCTTAATAAAAGCTGATGGAAAATTGTCTTTAAAATGAAGTTTGGAATTAAGAAACAGCCAAATTCTGCACGCTCTAAAATGACCCAAAACTAGAGTACATTTCTGGCGCACAAACTGAGTGCCACGTTTCGCCCACAAAATACACAGTTAGTATATCCTGTGAAGCGCTTTGAGACATCTCAACAATGTGACGAGGCACGATGTCAAATGCAAGGATTATTATTATTAAACCCAGACCCGGGATCAAACTCCGGGGTGAGTTTTGCCAAATGGTTCAGGAACGCACAGCCAGGAATAAAACACGGAGGGCGCGAGGGAGGGAGGGAAAGAAATCAGAAGCAATTGCAAATGTGAGCAGCAACGGTAATCAGGAAATTAAGATTTAATGAGGGCGTGGGGGGGGAAAGAGTGGAAACATTTTGACCTTAGCTCCTGTTTTAACCCCACCCCCGCCCCGTCTTTTCCTCTGCTTGTCACAGGAAGGAGAAACAACCCTGCACCTGGCAGCACAGATCAGGAAGGACATGACTCACTCGGACCAGGAGGATACCCAGATAGTCCGAATCCTCATGGAGTTTGGGGCAGACATAACGGCAGCCACAAACCTGGTTAGCAGGAGGAGACAGGGAAATAGGGCAAGGAGGAGGCCATTTAGCCCACTCAACAATTATCGGTGTTGGTTCCCTCCCCGGCCGACCTCTACAATCTCCTGTATCCCATCTTCCTGGACCTTTGACAAACACTCAACTGGCAGCTTCATGCCCCTTGCCTGATACGCCTCTCCATCAGTGGGCGAGCTTTCAGCCATTCTACCCCAGCTCTCCGATACTCCATCCTGGAGTCCCTTCTACCTCACCCCTCCCTCTCTCCCTCCCTCTCTCTCCCTCCCTCCCTTCAAAATCTGCCTTCAGACCGATCTCTTTGACCGTGCTTTCACCCACCTTCCTCCCCTCCCCACTTCCATTCACTTCAATTTCCAGTGATTATGTTTTGTAAAGCGCTTCAGGAGGTTTATTTTACTTACAAGGCGCAACATCTTTCCAAATCCCCAACAGCTCCAGCACAGCACTGGGGGGGAGCCTCTGCTACGTTGTTGGAGATGCATCCTTTGCATAAGGTGTTGAGCCAACATCATGTCTGCTTATTCTTCAGGTGAACGTTAAAGATCCAGTGTCACTGTTTGAAAAAGGGAAGGGAGGTTTGAAAAGGGAAGGGAGACCTGCTGTCAGCCAACAATCTCCCAATCACTTCAGAGTTTTGCTGTGCCCAAAGTTGCTGTCGAGTTTGCTTAGAACAACAGTCACTACACTTGAAGACTAATTGCTATAAAGTTCTTTGAGATGGTTTGACATGTTCAATCGCTGCAAAAACGCAAGTTCGTTCTCCAGACACACAATTACTTACACGCAAAGCATTTTGAGATGTTATAACCGTATAGGCGTTGTGTTAATTGTAAGGATTATAATTATTACCCTTTATGGTATGAAAAGTGTTTCTCGTTGGGAATCTCCAGATACACGAGACTCCGCTGCATTACTGCGCCCGAGTGGGCAACGCAGACGTGCTGCTCGAGATCCTGAAACACATCAGCTCAAACAGGATCCAGCGAGTCATCAATAAACAGGCCAAGGTAACTCTCACCACCTCCAGCCAATCCACCCCTGATCCGTATAGTAACCACAGATTAGCTCTCAATCTAGGATGATAAATACCAAGATTGTCTGTCTCTTAGACAGATACCTTTGGGCAGATGTGTGACCGATGTCAACTCAGACATTGCATATAATAGTTATATCCACATCCCGCATGCGTCGAGAACATTTTGAAGACCCGGGCCCTCCCCGGACAGGAACACGTTAAATTTACCGTATTTTTCGACGTTGACATAGATTTCTGTGTGCTTACATCGACAATGTTTTTCAAGTCCCCAATAGCATTAAAGTACATTGCATTCTTACCACTTATGTCGATAGACTCTTAGCCTCACATGTGATACTTGAGCCAGTGAGTGAATGATTGATTGGATGTCTGTGTCTCGTGTGAGTTAGTGAAAAATCTGCCTGGGTCATTTTGGTCGTGCTGCCGCCTGAGGGTCGTAAAGTTGTGAGGGTTCAAGCCCCACATTAGGACTTGGACCTTATAGTCTGGGCTGATATTCCAGTGGCGCCATCCTTCAGATGAGACATTAAACTGAAGTCCTGTCTGCTTGTTCACTTGGACGTTAAAGATCCCAGTACAACATTGTAAAAGAAAAGGGAGTTTCTCTTGGTGACCTGATCAACAATCTCCCAATCACTCCAAGCTGGTCATTCACTTTGTGGCTGTTTGTGGGACTTCGCTGCATGCAGATTGGCAACATTGCATTTAGCATTCCGCACAGGGCTCCAAGACATGTGAATGCTGTAGGCGCTGTATCTGATTTGAAACGTCTCTTTCTAATCTGTATCAGATTAGAAACATGTCCTGCATCTTTTGTTTGATTTCAGAACGGTTGCTCACCACTGCTGGTTGCTGCTGAAAGGGGACACACGGAGATCGTGAAGATCCTGTTACTGCACCACTCTAGAGTGGACGTCTTTGACGAGGTAATAGTTGCACAACAACAACAACAAGATTCCATTTATAAAGCGCCTTTCACGTCAGGAGGACGTCCCAAGGCGCTGCACAGTTGGGTCATGACCCGAGCAGGGGGGAAATGGTCAGGGTGAGGGGAGGGAAGGGAGGGAGCGAGGAGGGGGGAAATGGTCAGGGTGAGGGGAGGGAAGGGAGGGAGCGAGGAGGGGAAGAGAGTCGAGAGGGGAGCTGAAGGCACGGTCAAAGAGAAAGGTTTTGAGACCGGCCTTGAAGGAGGAAAGGGAGGAAGCAAGGCGAAGGCACTGGGGGATGGAGTTCCAGAGCCTGGGGCTGAGAGGCTGAAGGCCCGACCACCGATGGTAGGGCGGTTGGGGCGGGGGACGTGGAGCAGACCGGAGCCAGAGGAACGGAGGGTACGGGCAGGTAGGTAGGGGGATAGTAGGTTGGAGAGGTAGGAGGGAGCAAGGCCGTGAATGGCCTTGTAGGTGAGGATGAGGATCTTGAAATCAATCCTCTGGGGGATGGGGAGCCAGTGGAGGCGAGCGAGGGTGGGAGTGATGTGGTCCCGAAGCCTGGTGCGGGACAGTACACGAGCTGCAGAGTTCTGAATGACCTGCAGCTTGTGGAGGGAGGTGGCGGGAAGGCCGGCGAGGAGAGAGTTCCCATAGTCCAGCCTTGAGGTGACAAAGGCGTGAACCAGGGTTTCAGCAGCGTGAGGGGTGAGGTAGTGCCGTAGTCTGGCGATGTTCCGGAGGTGATGGAAGGCGGTGCCAGTTGTGGTGCGGATGTGAGGGAGAAAGGACAGCTCAGGGTCGAACAAAACGCCGAGGTTCCTGACTGGCTTTGAGAGGTGGAGAGTGCAGCCTTGGATGCTGATGGTGTCAGCGCCTGAGGTGCGGAGGCGCTGACGTGAGCCAATCAGGAGGGCCTCGGTTTTTCGCACGTTGAGCTGAAGAAAGTTGTCTCTCGTCCAGGACTCGATGTCGGACAGGCAGGCTGTCAGGACATCGGTGGTCGTGGAGTTGAGAGTAGAGGAGGAAAGGTAGAGTTGGGTGTCATCCGCATACATGTGGAAGTTAACCCCATGTTTGCGGATGATGTCACCAAGGGGGAGCATATAGAGGGTGAAGAGGAGGGGACCGAGGACAGAGCCCTGAGGGACACCACATGAGACAGTACGGGGGGTGGAGGAGAAGCCATTCGTCGAGACAAAGTGAAGACGGTGAGAAAGGTACGACCTAAACCATTCAAGGACAGTGCCTTGAAGGTTGAGGTGGGAGGACAAGCGGTGGAGTAGGATAGCGTGGTCGACCGTATCGAATGCTGCCGATAGGTCGAGGAGGACGAGGAGACAGAGGGAGCCCTGGTCACAGATGGTCAGGATATCATTGGTGACCTTGACCAGGGCAGTTTCTGTGCTATGGGCAGCACGGAAACCTGACTGAAGGGGTTCGAAAAGAGAATGGGTGGAAAGGAAAGAGCGCAGTTGGGAGGCGACAACTCTTTCCAAGACCTTGGAGAGAAAGGGGAGGTTGGAGATGGGCCGGTAGCTTGATAGCTGCGACGCATCAAGGGAGGGTTTTTTCAGGGTGGGCGTGATGATGGCAGTTTTTAATGGAATGGGGACAGAGCCAGAGGAGAGGGACAGGTTGATGATGTCAGTGATATGTGGGGCAAGAAAGTGGAGCTGGGAGATAAGGAGTGGAGTGGGGATGGGGTCAAGGGAGCAGGTGGTTGGTTTTAGGGATAGGATGAGTTCAGTGACAGAGGGTGGGGAAACGGGTACGAAAGTGTGTAGGGGAGGATGGGTAGGAGTCGGAGTGTGGGAGGGAAGGGGTGGGTGGTGGGTGGAAGTTGGAGGGGAAGTGACCGCGGAGCGGATTCCCTTGATCTTGGATTCAAGGAAATCCAGCATCTCCTCGCAGTGAAGGTTGGAGGAGATGACCTGCGCGGGGTGGCGGGGGGGACGGAGGAGTCGGGTTGTGGTGGAAAACAGTAGCCTGGGGTTGTTCTTCGCCTCCAGGATTATCCTGGAGTAGAAGGACGACTTGGCCGAGGCTAGAGTGGAGCGGTAAATTTTGAGGAGGTCCAGCCAAGGAGGGGGGAGGGGTTGCGAAGGGTTAACTAGCGGCCTGCCATGGGGCATGTCACCATTTCCAAGGACAGCATTTTGTTCCCCTCCAGAGAGAGCAAAGTTTCTAGTCAACCCAGGCAGCAGGACAAGAATGCACAAGTTTAAGTTATAATAATCACCGTAAAGTGAATTGACTATTTTTTATGGAGGTATTATTACCCCCAGAAAGCGATCCGCCAATTGGCTAACAACCAAGTTTGCACTTACAGCTAGGTAAACAAAGGTGTGTGGAGTGAGGAAACTTGCCTAACATTTTGCCCTGCTTGAGAATCAAACCTTTTCGCTTACGAGATGAGTGCTCTAACCAATACGCTGCAAAATTCCTCTTTTACGTTGTGTTCCCACCTCCCTCCCTCCCTCCCCCACAGCACGGCAAAGCTGGCCTTCACCTGGCTGCGGAGAATGGGCACGATCATATCTCTGACATCCTCCTCTGGCACAAGGCCTTTGTCAACGCCAAAACCAAGCTGGGCCTGACCCCGCTTCACCTGGGGGCACAGAAGGGTTACAACAGACTGGTCAAGCTTCTGGTGGACACCCACGGGGCCAGCATTGACGCGCTCTCTCTGGTAAGTGGGTGGCCCTTCGCTTCCGTTGGTTGATTGTGGGAGAACTTAAACGTCACCAAGTCCCAGCCATGTGTAAGACCATTTTATCTCAACATTTTAAAGCCGGACAGAATTGCAGTTAAGCCCTTAAATTTAGGCTTAGTTTGGAAGCCAGTGTCTGACCTCAGAATTACGATGTTCGCCAACAAGATACGCAGTGACTGCACTTTATGGTGTATCCTGTGAAGCACTTTCACATTCTCCCGATGCAGGGGGAGTTCCAGAGGTTAGGGGGCTTCAGGAACTGATCATGGTCACATCATTAACGTCCGTCTGAACAGGCTGCTGGGACCTCAGTTTAATGCCTTATAGGCAGTCCCTGCTGGAGCACACTGGGAATCCCAGCTAGAGATGCACTTTACTCCACCTTCTAGCTGTTTTTGCCGATACACAAGTGGCAATACAGGTGCCACAATCCTCAGCCTATACCTGGTACAAACAGTAGGAGATGTTTTCATGAGACCGGTGATTGAGATGATCAATGATTGAGATGATCAGTGATTGAGACTCTTTATTGTGTCCAGTCGAAGCAGACTCCCCTGCACCTGGCGGCGGTGAATGGACAGCTGAACGTCTGCAGTAGTTTACTGAATATGAAGGCCAACGTGAACGCCACTGATATTGTGAGTGACGTCAACCCAAGCTGCCCCCCACCCCCACTTCCGCACAGGAGACCAGGTATAGCCACGTCACTCCCTGAAACAAAGGGCCATGGGGGGCGGGAATGTGAAGGGAATGGGGGATATTCACGGCAGCGACTTGGGCAAAGAGGTAAAGGTTCTTTGTGGTCAATAACGGAATTGACAGCAACCCAAGGGTGAAGTGTCCTTTATTTCCTCTCCCACACACCCCCTCCACCGCCCGCGCTCTCTCAGCCGACCAAGTGACAGGACGGGGGTGGTGGGGGGTGCGTGGCAGGGGGAAGAAGCTGAGGAGAAAATGGCAGAAAGGGGCAGCAGTGATATTCCTCATACCTCGCCAGTGGAGATTTTGTTTGAGGTCAGCGAGGGAGTGTGTCTGATACATGCAACAACAACAACAACTTGCGTTTAGATAGCGCCCTTCACTCAGAGTAGCGTCCCAGAGTGCCTGAAACCCAACACCGGGCTTCATTATCCAAATTTCTTTTGTGACGTTGGGAATGTGGGAGCGAGGTACAATTTTCCTTCCTGGCTTGTGTGTATCTTTCTCTCTCTTTGTTTCTATCGTTTTCACTTTCTTTTCCTCTGTTTCTCTCACATTTCCATTTTCTGCCTCTTTCTCACTCTCTTTCTCTTTCCCACTTTTTCCCCTTTTTCTCTTTCTACTCTTTCTCGCTCTATCTTTTTCCCTCTTTTCCTATCTTTTTTTCTTTTCCTCTTCTTTCTTCTCTGACACACACTTTCTCTCTCCCTCTCTCTTTCTCGCTTGCTCTTTCTCTTTTTTTTCTTTCCTCTCTTTCGGTCTCTCTCTTTTTTCCCCATCTTTTTCTCTTCTCTTCTTTCGCTGACTCTTTCTCTCTCTTCCCCAGCACGGACAGACGCCCCTCCACCTGGCCACTGAAAACGATCATTCCGAGGTGGTCAAACTCTTCCTCAAGCACAAACCGGAGCTGGTGACGTCGGCTAACGTGGAGGGCTCCACCTGCGCTCACATCGCGGCTTCCAAGGGCAGTGTGGCTGCCATAAAGGAGCTGCTGAAATTCAGTAGAGCAAGTGTCACCTCAGCCCGAAATAAGGTGAGACTCTGAGTGGGTGCGGGAGAGGGAGGTGGGACATGAGAGTGTTTCCAGTGGTAGCTCAGACACCTGTATCTGGGCACTATAATAACGATAATGATAATAATCCTTGCATTTGATATAGCGCCTTATCATGTCTTCGAGACATCTCAAAGTACCATCACACCAAGCTATCCCTGAGTATGCTCATAGTTGAGGGCTGACTCCAGTACATTTCTGTGTCTGTTTCTCTATCCCAGGTTTTGCCTTGTGTTTCTGAATTGTGGCAGGAATCCTTAGGCAAGTTTCCTTACTCCACACGCTACATAGGAGTAAGTAGGAAAAAATTGCTTGTTAGCCAATTGACAGATCGTTGTCCAACGAATAAATAATAATTTGGTCACTCAATCCACGACCGTTTGTGGGACACTGCTGTGCGCAATTGGTTGCTGCGTTTCGCCGATAAAAATATACAGTCAATTTACTTTACAGTATATTCTGTGAAGGGCTTTGAGAACGTCTTAACAAAGTGATAAAGCGCGATATCAAATGCAAGGATTATTATTATTATTATGGCCTGTTCAATTTTCAGACAAATACCTCCACCGCGCTGCACCTGGCTGCCACTGGCGGTCATGCAGAGGTGGTGAAGGTTCTGCTGGAAGCGGGAGCATCTGCCACCGACGAGAATGCGGTACGTACCGACTGGGCACAGTCCAACTCTAACTCGTTTTAAGTCCTGCCTGTCTCACCAACTCCCTCCCGACGGCATTAAAAGTCAGGCTTTGTGAGTCTTAAGAGAAAAGGCTCAGGTATTGTAACTCACTTATTGCGGTTCCTAACGGGTATTGATGTACTGAATCCTCTATTTGTTTTTAGTTGACACATGCGGACACCCATTACTGTGTTTAAGAGTATCCAGTCTTGAGAGTTCCACATACGTAAACCACCTAGTCATGGAAACTTCTGTGTGTCCAAAATGGAATATGCATTCTCTCTCTCTCTGGAGGGATGAACACTAAAATAATTCCGGAGAATTCTCAGGCACAGGTTAATGAGAGCCTAGGCTTGAGGATTGGGATAACTGCTCCAGTTCAACCAGCTCAAACTGTATAGCTTGCCATTAAGAGCAAGCTTCCCAATACCCGTCTAGCCAGGATGACCCAGGGTTAGCAGGAGGTGCACCTGAGCTCTGTGACTGTATGTATTTAAAGATATTTCTTGTTGATGAATTTAATTGTTTGATTTCCCCTCTTCTCTTTTTGTTCCAGGAGGGAATGAATGCAATTCACTTAGCTGCTAAGAATGGACACATTAATGTCTTGGAAGCATTGAAAGGCACCATATCCTTTAAACTCACCAGCGCAAAGGTTAGACACATGGACTGATTGATTGTCTCATGTTTGCACGTCCTATAATAACTCAACTTTTAATTTATTTTAATCCTTTGCGTAAATCTATTTGATCCACTGAGCTTAAATTTAGCAGTAAAATTTGGGAGATTTCATAATTAACGCCGGCGTTAATTATCACTGTGCTTTGCGATGTTTAGTGTGAAACTAAATCACAAGATTCACAGTAAAAGTAATGCCATTCATACACGGCCACTAGGTGGCAGCCACTTCCCAGGGTTCTGGATCCCAACTTTAATAACAACAATCCTTGCATTTGATGTAGCGCCTTATCATGTCTTTGAGACGTCTCAAAGCGCTTCACACAATATGCTGTAAAGTGAATTAATTGTATAATTTACAGGCGAAATAAGTAACTTTCTCACTTTCTCATCTTCATTTTTATTGTAGAGCGAGGGAGCGTGAAAGCCATGTAGTCGGACCCAGTTTATGTGTTGATTTGGTCCATACAATCAGACCTCCCCCCCCCCAACCCCAAAGTTGCAACAGGCCAGGCTATAAAATGGTCAACGTCTCTGCATCGGCAGGTCACCGGTAATATCACAGAACTGTATGTGTCCAGGAAGCCGGAAATATCTCTCAAGTATTACGAGCAGATGCAGGAGGACGACTGCATCTGCACACTGTGCACCAGAAGCTGGAAATGCGCCTCACATTGGCTATATTGCAGGGCCCATGGTACAACAATGCTGTAAATAGACCCGCACTAGTATACACCGAAGAGCAGTACAATGTGGTTCGACTGTACTTTCAGATAAGCTAAGGCAGCAGGACTGGACAGCACAGGTTCAGGGGTATGAAGGGCAATTTCAGGACGGACACCAGGAAGTATATCTGGGCACAAAGGGTAATTAATGACTGGAATGGGGCTACCGGGAAATATGGTTGAGTTCAGAACACTGGGACTCATTTAAGAAACAGCTCAATGCTGTAATGGGAGGAGAGTAGAGTGGATACGAATAATAACAATCCTTGCATTTATATTATCATATCACGTTTCACCCACAAAACACACAGTCACTACACTCTACAACATATTGTGTGAAACGCTTCGAGGCATCTCAATGATGTGATAAGCAATATGAAATGCAAGGATTTTTAAAAGTAATTTTCCTAAAGCTCTTCATAGGATTACGGTAGAGTATAATGACTGTGTATTTGGTGGTTAATTGGGCAGCCAATTTATGCACAGCAATGTCCCAAAAAACAGTAATGACCAATTTTATCTGGGAGATCTTTATCGTCCACCTGAACAGATAGATGAGACCTTGGTTTAATGTCTCTCTGAAGGATGGCACCTCTAGCAATGCAGTGCACCCCCAGCACTGCACTGGAATGTCAGCCCAGATTGTGAGCACAAAATCCAGCCATGGGACTTAAATCCATAAGCTTCTAACAGAGACGAGAGTGCTACCGACTGCGCCAGGCTGACACCTTAGGTTGAAATGCAATCGGCCAAAGGGATTTCTTCATCCACACCTCACTTGTGATCTTGTCGGGAAATGATGTGTTTTGTTTCAAGGTTTTGTTTCCTTCTCACTTTTCTCTGTAATCCCTTCCCTCCTCTTCTTTCTCCTCCCCCTCCCCCCCCCCCCCATTCTTTCCCAAAGACTGGACTTACAGCCCTGCACGTGGCTGCCCTCTTTGGGCAGATGGACTTTGTGAGAGAGATTCTCACCAAGGTGCCAGCTACGATGAAGAGCGAGACCCCCAAAACCACCAACGAAGCTCATCTGTTGAGCGAGGTAAGAGGGGGAGGCGGGGGAGGGCAATTACTGCACTAACATTGCGAGCAGGCCTGAGCAATGGAACAAGCTGCTCTTCCCACCATTTATTTGGAGCTTTTGTTAGTCCCCCCCACCCCATATTATATTACAAATTATTTTTGCCCTAGTGAGTTTGGGGAGGAATTTGCAAGGTTAAAAACAAATTCCTATGAGTCTGTCTGTGTTTGTTGGAAGGGGGTGGCGGCGGGGGGTGGCCTCCAAGTGGAGCATGTGTGTAGCTCCATGTGTGTAGCTGTGTATTGTGGGTGAAGAGGATGGAATTCTCCTAATAATGAATTGATGGACATCCAGACCTTTTCAACAAATGAAAGTGCCCAGTAAACAGGTTCATCCAATCCATTGGTCCCATCATCTCCTCACTGGTCTCCGCTGGGTATCTGCTGAGTAAATAGTACCTGAGGGGACATGAATGGAAACTAGTGAATAGATATTATTAATGATAATCTATTTTGGTCCTAGACTTAATCCTTAATCCGGGACCACATCACTCCCACCCTCGCTCGCCTCCACTGGCTCCCCATCCCCCAGAGGATTGATTTCAAGATCCTCATCCTCACCTACAAGGCCATTCACGGCCTTGCTCCCTCCTACCTCTCCAACCTACTATCCCCTACCTATCTGCCCGTACCCTCCGTTCCTCTGGCTCTGGTCTGCTCCACGTCCCCCGCCCCAACCGCCCTACCATCGGTGGTCGGGCCTTCAGCCTCTCAGCCCCCAAGCTCTGGAACTCCATCCCCCAGTGCCTTCGCCTTGCTTCCTCCCTTTCCTCCTTCAAGGCCGGTCTCAAAACCTTTCTCTTTGACCGAGCCTTCAGCTCCCTCTCGACTCTCTTCCCCCTCTTCGCTCCCTCCTTTCCCTCCCCTCACCCTGACCATTTCCCCCCTCCTCGCTCCCTCCCTTCCCTCCCCTCACCCTGACCATTTCCCCCCTCCTTGCTCCCTCCCTTCCCTCCCCCTGACCATTTCCCCCCTGCTCGGGTCATGACCCAACTGTGCAGCGCCTTGGGACGTCCTCCTGACGTGAAAGGCGCTTTATAAATGGAATCTTGTTGTTGTTGTTGTTGCTGTCACTGCTTCTGCCAGGATAGTCACTGTTAAAGTGCTATACTTCCGGGTTAATCCTTTTTCAATGAGGGAGCACGCCTTTTTCCTTGCTTTACTCCTGGTGTTACAATCACGGTAACCAGTGTCACACTTGTTTTGCCCCTCGACTAATCCTAGTGTTGCCTTCTGTTTAGTCAGGGTACACACCATTACACTTGGCTGCACAATCAGGACACGAGAACCTGGTTCGCCTTCTTCTGAACTATCCAGGGGTCCAGGTGGATGCTCAAACCAACCTTCAGGTGAGTAACCAACACTGCACAATGAAGATAAGATAGGTCAGATAAGCAAACACTCCCCTCTCTGGTAAAGGGATCCTGAAAAGGGGCACATGATCTCAACATTAGAGCAAAAATGGTGAGATTGGAAAACGTTTCACTAAACACAATACAAATTTACATTTATACAGTGCCTTTCAAGTTGGTAGTATGCCCCAAAGTGCTCAACAGAAGTTGGGGGTGGGACCCAAGGGCGGGGGTGGCGAGCTTGGGAATGATTGAAAGCACAATCAGATCTGGAAACAGACCTTGAATGAAGTGAGGGAGGGATTCCACGATGGTGTTCCAGAAGTCCAGGGCTGATGTGCCCCAGAAGGTCACAGATGCATCATCAATTGCGAAACTTAAACATGGAGATAAACAACTTGGAGTTACATCGCACCTTTCGCGAAAAAAATGAACATCTCAAAGTACTTGTCAGATATAATAGAACCCCTGCTATAACCCATTTCATTATAACAAGGGTTTGCTTCAATGGATTCCAACATTTATTTACCAAAACATCCAAAGTATGGGCCATGGCCTGAAGGCCCATTCAGCTTTGTTAAGCACTTTGAGATGTCCTACTGTCATTACAAATGCTACATAAAAGTCCACCAATTTGTTCAAAAGAAACAGATGTGAATGACAGTGAGTGTCAGTTACTCTGCAACATGTGTCTGCCAGATTCATCAGCACAGGCTAGTCAAGTGCTGAGAAAAATAAGTGCAGTGTCATTCATTAATTGTGGAAACACCCTGTCAAAGCAGAACCACTTGGTTCTGACTCAACTTCCCCATCACTGCCTTGTTGTTTTCTCTAAAAACCTTTATTTTGCACATTTTCTGTTTTTAAATGCGGAACTTTGCACGGAACTGCGGTGGCTTGTTGCTGAACAACGGAACACAGTTTAAAAACAAGGATGACCGGGAGGCGATAGGAAATCATTCCCATTGGAAAAGTCAGACTGCCCGAAGTTGATGGTCAGGGACCACCACCCCCCCCCCCAGTGGGTTTCATCTGTTTTCAGTCAATGCTCAACAAATGTAATAATGACAATCATGGTGCATTCACCCACAATACACATAGTGACTGGAAGAAAAAATAATAATAATAATACATTGGTCACTCAATGTACGACTGTTTGTGGGATGCTGTGCGCAATTGGCTGCTGCGTTTCACCTACAAAATTTATAGTCAATTCACTTTACAGTATATTATGTGAAATGCTTTGAGACGTCTCGACGACATGATAAGGCAGTATATCAAATGCAAGGATTATTATTATATTATTATATTAACTCAATAGTAAAGGAATTGCTCAGTGCGAATACTTCACGAAGCCTGGCGGTGCCTAATTGAATTGCTTTGCAGGGAGCCACCCCATTGCACCTGGCGTCTCAGAGCGGCCACACTCCGGTGGTCGGGCTCCTCCTGAGTAAATGCACCTCCCTGCTGCACCTGAAGGACAAGCGAGGCCGGACCTGCCTCCACCTGGCGGCCGCCAGCGGCCACATCGAGATGGTCAGAGCGCTGCTCGGACAGGGAGCTGAGATCAATGGCACGGACAAGGTGGGCACTGGGCGTTGTAGAATTCCTGGGCTGAAATTCCGGGCAGCGTTAAGAACAGCTAGTTTGTCCATGTTGGCCGGTAAAGGGATTTCCCCATTTTTATCGTGTGGGAGGACTGAGAAGAAACCTGCCTAATGTCTTTGAGTCTCAGCCCATTGCTCTCTCCGTTTCTCAAACTTTCTACCATCCTCTGTCTCTATGATTTCATCTCTCTATGTCTGTCTCTATCAGAAGGAAGGGAACAGAGTAGTGGGTGGGGGGGTGGTAAGGAGATGGGATTATGGAGACTGAAGACTCGAGTGTGGAGTCTAAACACCAGCTTCCATTAGTCAGGTCCAGAGAAGGTCACTGGGGCAGGTTAGCTCCTCACCTCTCTCCTTTTCTCAACGGCTGAACAGTTGCACAGAGCAGCAAGGGAGGGGGGGAAAAGATGGCAAAGGCAATGAAAATCAAAGAGGAGAGTCAAACTAATGCGATTCCCTCATGCTTTCCAATTCTTTCTTCAGAACGGATGGTGCCCGCTGCATTTTGCGGCAAAGTCCGGTTGCCTGGATACTGTGCGGTTTCTGGTGGAGGGTGGAGCTTCGGCCAAGCTGGAGTGCAAGGAGGGTCGCACCCCGATCCAGTACGCAGCAGCCGAGCATCACCAGGAGGTGGTGAGCTTCCTGCTCAGAAGGAACAACATCACCCTTAAATTGACAGAGGATCGCAAGGTGGGTGCTGCCTATTTACGTGCTAGTTGTGTAGCTCAGTGGTCAGAGCACTCGCCTCGTAAGCGAGAGACCTGGGTTCGATTCCCGAGCAGGGCAGAATGTTGGGCAAGTTTCCTTACTCTACACGCTTCTGTTTACCTGGTAGTAAGTAGGTACCCGGTTGCTAGTCAATTGGTGGATCACTTTTCCGGGGGTAATCATTCCTTCAAAAAATAATCAATAAAAAATTGGTCACTTAATCCACGACTGTTTGTGGGACGCTGCTGTGTGCAATAGGCTGCAGTGTTTCTCCCACAAAATATACACATTACAGTATATTCTGTGAAGCGCTTTGAGACGTCTCGAAGACGTGATAAGGTTCTCTATCAAATGCAAGGATTATTATTATTACATCATTAATAGGCGCGAACCTGACCCCATCAGTAACGTTCTTGCCTCTGAGTTAGAAGGGTATGGCTTCGATCTCACAGTCAGGGCTGTTGTTCCACTTCAGTGGTGGGGAGGTGGGGTTGGTGGGTAGTGTTGCATTGTCAAAGATGTCCATTCTTCGAATGAGATGTTGGAAAAGTAATACATGGGGAGCCAATACAATAAAAATTTACATAGCGCCTTTCACATCAGTAGGACATCCCGAGGTGCTTTAATGATAATATCTTGGCACCTGAGCTGGGGGTGGGAGCTAAGGGTGTGGGGAGGAGAAAGATCACCAAAGACACAGTCAAAGAGGTGGGTCTTGAGTCGGAGGGACTGTGATGGTTCCTGAGAGTGGGAAAGAGACAGGCAGAGGGAAGATGAGTGGGGAGAGATAGGCAAAGGAAAGGGAAACAACACCAAGAGGATTTAATGCCACCTTTCCTTTCAGTTCATCTTCGACCTCATGGTGTGCGGAAAGCTGAACGGCAACAGGGTCATCGAGGAATTTGTGCTGCACTCCCCCGCCCCCCTGGACACCGCCGTCAAGCTGTCCAGGGCCTTCGATGTGGCGGCCCTGAGGGAGAAGGACAGGTCCATGGAGCTGCTCAACGCTGCCAAATACTGTGAGGGTATGGCCACCGAGCTCCTGACTGTGGCCTCAGGGAGCAAGAGCGCTGGCTACCTGCTGCGTGCCGTGGACCACCGCACCACATCCCTGCTGGACGCCTTGATCGAGTGCGAGCAGAAGGAGGTGGTGGCTCACCCGGTCGTGCAGAAGTATCTGACCGATGTGTGGTATGGGAGCCTGCACTGGGCCCACTGGAAAGTAGTCCTCCTTTTCTTCTCCTTTCTGGTCTGCCCACCCATCTGGCTGGTCTTCTCTCTGCCGTTGGGGCACAGGTTCACCAAGATCCCCATCGTGAAGTTCATGAGCCACCTGGTCTCTCATGTCTTCCTGCTGCTGCTCTTTGTGGTCACCGTGGTGTACCCACCCCTCAGCCCCGTCCACCAAGGCCGTGCCTTGCCTCGCTGGAATGAGTGGCTCCTGCTGGCTTGGCTCTCGGGGATGCTGGTGTCTGAGCTGACCCACCCCGGGGAAAGGGCCGGGCTGGCCTGGATCAGGGTCTTCATCCTCGGCCTCTCCGCTGTGGCTGTCTTCTGCCATCTGCTGACCTTCGCCTTGCGGGGCCACGACCGGCTGCACTGCTTCTTCGCCCGGAACATTTTCCTGGCCACTGCCATGACCCTGTGCTTCATCCAGTTCCTGGAGTTCCTCACCTTCCATCACCTCTTCGGCCCCTGGGCCATCATCATCCGGGACCTGATGAAGGACATGGCCAGGTTTGTGGTCATCCTGGCTCTGTTCCACGTGGCCTTCACCATGCAACTGACGGCTGTCTACCAGCCAGTCTATCCTGAGCCCCAGCCCGACCCCTCGGCTGGGAACAGGACGGAGTCCGAAGTGGGTGTTCACAGTATCCGGAGCCCGCTGGACATCACCGTGCTGCTCTTCTTCGCCCTGTTCGGGATGGTTGACCCAGATTCCCTGCCGCCGCTGGACCGCGCTCCAGCCTTCAGTCACGTCATTGTAAGGGTGGTGTTCGGCATGTACCTGGTGGTCAGCCTAATTGTGCTCATTAACCTGCTCATTGCCATGATGAGTGACACTTACCAGCGCATCCAGGCCCAGTCCGACACCGAGTGGAAGTTTGGCCGGGCCACGCTGATCCGGGACATGGTCAGGAAATCCAGCACGCCATCCCCGTTCAACCTGTGCACCAACCTGTTCTACTACACCAAACTGCTGTGCAAGCACAAGGGTGAGTCCTCGGGCTCATCGAGGTGAAACGGGCAAGAGAGAGGTCTTCCTTGTTGAACGGTCTAACGGTTTTGGGTGCTGGCCAGCCTCACGTTTAATGCGCTTGTTCAATTTTGCAATATTTCTTAATGCATTTCGTAATTAAGAAATCCAAGCTGGAACTCCAATTGTGACTATAAATGTGACTAAAACATACACTCCCCAGGGAGCCTGTCTTGTCCTTTCTCCTTTTCCCTCTTGTTTGGTCTCCCTCTTGCTGAGGTACAGTTCCTTGGGCACCAAGTCACTTCCAGTGCCTGACCCCAAAGTCCCCATTACTCTTAATAGAGTGAAGGCACTGAGAGTCAGTTGCTTCTTATTGGATGGTGGGAGTTGGTTGTTTCACAGCTGAGTCAATCTGATTCTCACCATCTAAACACCATCTAGCCTGCCTGAGATCCCACCTCATCTAATTTTGCTCAGACAGGATTGAAACCTGGACCTTCTGGTTTTATATAGATTAGAGTTGATCTGGGGGGAATGAGAGGTATGGAATTTATCCAGGTCCTGATGGGGGCAGATGATATCTAGGTTGATTCTCCAGTACAGTGGTGGAAGAACGTGCTGCATTGTTGGACATGAATTCTTTTGGATGAGATGTTTAACTTGTCTGGTTGCTCTTCAAGTGAATGTTATGGATCGTATTAGACTATTGGAATAGAGAAAGGAGTTTCTGGCCTCCAGATTAATCAGTCAGTCACCTCACATCTGTTTGTGTACAAAATTGCTGCCATATTTGCTTATAAAAAAGATCACTGCCCTTGAGAGCAATCACTATCAAGTACTTTGAGACTTGAGTGTGATAAAATGCTATAAAAATGAAAGTTTTTTTCGTTCTGCTGTTGTGTGGGGAGAAAATATTCAGATGTGCTTTCTTGTTAGCGAGACTACAGACACTGGGAAGGATGAGGTCATATGAACTGAAGGGCCTTCTTCCTCTGAACTCTAGTTCACACCAAAACTTAACTGTGTTAACTTAACTGGCCAGTACTGTGTAAACAGATGTCAGCCTGGATCAGTTAGTAACACTCTCGCCTCTGAGTTAGAAGTCCTACATTGGACTTTCAGCTCATAAAATAGGCTGACATTCCAATCACAGTACCAGGTGGTAAATGTTAAATGTTCCTGTCTAATCAAGTGGATGTTAAAGATCTCTTGACAATATTTGAAAAGAGAAGAGACTTTTTCCCAGTTCCCTGACCAACAATCCCCCAGATAAAAGTGTTGGGACATTGCTGTGACAAATTGACTGCCAACAAAATGCACAGTAAATCCTGTGAAGTACTTTGAGACATTCTTCTGAGGTGAAAGGCCCAATATTAAATTCAAGCTTTATAATTAGGTCAATGAGTGTTGGTGCAAACTCTGAATGATAGCTCAACCGTCTTGTCATTTTGATCGAGTGAGACAGCGCCACCTAGTGGCGATTTACTGGTTGGAAACGCTCACTGGTTCAAATCCTGGTCCTTGTTGAGTTTCCTGGTCTCAACCAGAGATGTATGGGAACACTAAATTGAACCCAACCATCTCAGAGTTAGGGAGGGGAAAACTCACCAGGCTTCCTGCTACTGGTGCCTCTGTAGTACCCTCCACTGGTTGCATCCGTCTGTGGCAACCGGGTGGGGAGAGGTCAGGCTCAGCTGTGATGCCCTTCACATTGGAGTGGCCCTGTTGACACTCACTGCCAAAGCTCACATATGAACAATGGCCGCTGCTTTCCCTTTTGCCAATCCCTAATAGACGGGCAGGAATCTCAGTTTAACTTCTCATCCGAAGGAAGGCACCTCTGAATTGCAGTGGATCCCTAAACATAAGCTAAGGTAGCACTTCCCTTGCGTTACACTTATACTGGAGTGTTAACCTGAATTGTGGTTGTGATCCCATTGTGGCTGATTGTTATACAGTTAAAGGCATTGTTATTGGTGGATTTAAAATGGTTTGTTTGGCAGCTTCAATTATTATATCTTCCCCATAGAATGGGGAAGATATAATAATTTTTGCACTCGATGTAGCGAGTTCTCACGTCTTCGAGACGTCTCAAAGCCCTTCACAGAATATACTGTAAAGTGAATTGACTGTATATTTTGTGGGAGAAACGCTTGCTAAAAGCCAAACCGCCAAGGGCGGAGCAGGGGACACAAAGCAGGCCAGGAATCTTGATTTGAAAGTGATTTTCTGCAGTATAGACACTGCGGCGTGAAATTGGCTGCTGCGTTTCTTCCACAAAATACACAATCGATCCACTTTACAGTATATTCTGCAAAGCGCTTTAAGACGTCTCAACGATGTGATAAAGCGTTATATCAAACGCAACGATTATTATTATTGTCTTAATTGGTAGTACTCTCGCCACTGGGCTTAAAGTTTGCAAAATTAAAAAAAATGCTTAACTCAGGGTAAAAGCACTGAAACCTGGAAAAGGGCAAACCACTTAACCTGGAGTGAGTGAGAGAATGAATGGTCCTGTCCCCTGGTGGTTGATTTATATGAGATTGCCTCCTGACCTGACAGACGCTGTATAAATGCACTGTATTGGTATCAGCGTGAGATAAGTAATGCCACAAACGTTACCCCAATATTGTTGTGGTTTTCAGGGAAGCTGTGCTCCACCGAGGGCCGGGACCTGATGAATGAAGATGACGGCCTTGATGCCATCTCAGACACCCACTCCATTGACATGCTGGCACACACATCGGTCGGTTGGATAAGGAACACTTCAAAGACAACACAAGTCTCTCCAGAAGGTAGCAAAGCAAGATTTCCTTCACATGGAAATCCCAGGGCTGATCACCTGCCAAATTGGAAGGGAACGTGTTTTGAGATCTTTGTATCCATATGCACCATTGGGTCTATCTTGCATCAATTGCTGAAATCAGCAAACTGGCTCAGTTGGTAGCACCCTCTGGGTCAGAGGGTTGTGGGATCCAGACCTTTTAGTCGAAGATGACACTAGTGAATACTGGGGACAGTTCAGAGTCTTTAGACCCAGATCAGAGTCAGCTGAATGTTAAAAATCCCATGGCATCATTCCAAAGTCATCCAAATAATTAATAATAATCCTTCCATTTGATATAGTACCCTATCATGTCGCTGAGATGTCTCACACTTCTTCATAGATTAAAAATGGATCGACTGTATTTTGAGGGCAAAACCCGCAGAAAATTATGCACAGCAATGTCCCATGAACAGTCGTGGATTGAATGACTTTTTTTAGGGATTTTTACACCTGGAAAGTGATCCTCCGATCAACTAATAAGTGGGTTCCTACTTACTACTAGATAAACAGAGACGTGTAGATTAATGAAAATTGCCTAAGGCTTTTACCCCACCCGGGAATTGAACCCATGTCCTCTCACTTACGAGGCAAGTGCTCTAACCACGACACTCCGAGACTCCACTTATACACGGAAATCCATGTAAGTCAGTCCCTACTGAAAACATTATGGAAGCACCATCACCACAAGAACAGTGGTTTAAAGAGAGCATCTTCTTAGGGCAACGAGAGATAGGCAGCAATAGCTAGTCCCTTCAGCTTTGACCATGTCTAGAGACAGATTTAAAAGAAAAATCACTGTTTCCTCGACCTTGCTGGTAGAAATCATTTGCTTACAAACTATACAGTCTCTAACCATGATACCAATTTACGGCCGCAACCACCCCCAATAAATTTTCTTCTCTCTCTGTAGGTGGATTCTTGCATAACCTGCGCCATAATGGTTCGACAAAGATCGAGGATGTGATTGACTGGCATAGTGTGGCACTCCGTTACCTAACCATGAAGGGCCGGACTGACGTTGTGTTGGAAAGGCATTCCTCCCAGTACGATGAGGCAAACAGCGCAGGGCACTTTGCTGTGCTAGTGCGATCCAAGCTTCTGAATGGTTTATCCATGTAGAGAATGGGGTAATGGTGATGGCCCACTGGAAAGAATAAAGGACCCATTTTATACGATGAGAGAGAGAGCTGACAGAGCTGTTAAAGTTGATCAAATCAAATCTTTGTGCTCACTGACTCTGTGAGTAATGGGAAATGGCACAGTTTGATGCTTCAGATGGCAGAGTGTCAATTAACTGGAGGGCTCTTCAATAACCTTAAGCACTGCCTTCTACTGCCAGCTGCATAGTCTCTTTTCAGTCTGTCATTGCCATTCACTGTTCATGGGTTACAGCGTGGACTTCGAGCTAATTGTTATCGTCACAAACCAGAGGAGGAACGAAGACCATCAACAATGTTATGAAGCCCAGGAGACAGTGACATACATACATGTTCTCTCCCCTCTGTTCAGGCTAACCTTCTGTTTGGCTTCACTAGTGCTTCTTGAGTTCATCTTTCTCAAATAGGCATAGCGATCACTCCTGCCAACATCTTGACCAGAAGATAAGCCCTACTTACTTTATTGCACAAACCCATTTCAAGAGACGGTGGGGAGGGGAGTGTGAGAGCCTGAGTGGAAAATGAAATAACTTGCTGTTTTGACCTTTGGTTTTAGGATTAGCAAATCTCTAACGTGAAGAATGAGTCGTTAACACTCAATTTCGACATAAACTGCCAGTTTGCTTCAAGACAGTTTATAGAAAGTGAACAGACTTCAAGTGCTGTGAAATGATATGTCAAGCAGTAGCCCTGGACTCGCCAAACAAGTTGATTATGAGAGAACTTGGCACAGGAACGTCTACAGTGGTACCAACAGACTTGTAATACTGCCTCCCACCTGCCTTCAAATGCATGCAAAATGCACTCATTATACTGCCCAGCAGGCCCCAAAGAAGGAAACAAGACACAAAAGCCTCACATGTGCAACCTTCTTGAGGCGGACGCTCAAAGACATCCTAAAGGTACAATTTGCACCGGTGGCATGATCACAGGTCGGATTTTTACCCCCCTTCACCCTCCAAATCATAAATTAGAAATGGATCGAGTGGAAGTGGGGAGCGAAGTTGGTTCAAATGGAGATGCCTAATAAAAAGCAGGAAAGCCCAGAGTAATCCATGACAGGCTTGAATATGCGCAAGCCAAACCCTGTGAGCCAGGCTGGTCCTAGTAGACTGATACTGTTCCGTGTGGTTAGTTACCTGTTGTCTTTTTCTCTCTTTTAAGATCTTTTGACTGTGAAATCAAAAGCTCTCACATTGGGTTCTCAAGGGATTTGGAATGGAATCATTAATAATAAATGGGTCCACTTGCAGTAACCTCTTGACGAGTGTCATGCTAACTGGTAGGAACTCTGATCCCAACGAAAATCACACTGTAGTAGTTCTGAATGTGAAGGAAAGGCCTCAAATGAAGAGACTTGGTGCCTCACAGTGTGCTGTCTTTAAGATTCTAAAGAGACAAGACAATATAAATCGTGACAGGCTGTTTCAACTAGTCCAGAATAGTAAAACCAGAGGACACGGCCTTCAATTGAAGGGCAAATTCAGAACAAATCTACGGGAACACTATTTCACTGAGCGAATAGTAAACCTGCATTTCTTTTAGGAAATAACATTATGGGATATAGTACATAGGTAGTTCGGGGCATATGTGCATGCGACTGCCAGGAAGGTGGAAGGCGAACTAGATGGATCTTGGTCTTTTTTCATCCAGCATTTCTTATGTTCTTATGTGAGTTGGGTGGTGACACTGTCAAAGTCATCTATAAGATTGAAGCCGAATCATCATTGCTTCCAAATCAGGGTGGAGCGTAATCTTATGGAATACTTTCATCCAAAGGATGACTGGGGCCCTAATTTACGTTCATTGAGGATGGGGAAAAATCTAGTCTATTCTAGTGCCTTTACCCACTGACTATCTCTTGGTTTCAGGGCTGCAGATTTAATTTGCATTTTGGGCTGGTTTGGAAATCAAAACTATAAATTCTGTAAATTAGAATACAAAGCAAAAGTTGCAATTGGCACTTTCTGCCTTTTTTGTTGTTGTTGCAAATATTGTAGATTAAACCGAGCCCCAAGTGTCACATTAGGCAACCAACAAAGGAGGAAAGCATTGAATGGGAAACTAGTATGGTTTGACTGTCATAAATCACAGTGAATACCGGCAGCAATACTTGTAATAATTCCAAACTCCTACAAAGATTAAGATTTTGCTTTTCAATTTAAAACTCTTCATTTCTTTCTGAACCCTCTACTCCCCACCCGAATATCAATGCTCTCCATAGTCACTGCAACTTCACGACATAAAGTAATCATTTTGCCCATGAAGAGCATAGAAACTCGCATTGAAAGTGTCTGAATGGATTCTTTAAATAATGCGGGGACTAAATTGTGGTATGTTTTAAATCCCGCCAGAAGTGGATCCCAAATGGGTCGTCTCATTACCCTTGTGCACAACTCTGATTCCTTATCAAGGAATCCCATTAGGAAATACTGCAAATTAGACCCTGATGTAACGTATTTTTAAACTGTGCCCATATTTTCCGACGCTGTATAAATGTAATTTGTTGTTGTATCTGTGCAGTTGTTTTTAATTGCAAAGTAGCCAATTGTTTTTTGTACAGTATATACAATTTGGTGTGGTTTTTTTACGTTTTAAAAGGAAGGCAAACACTTTTGACTCTGTCACTTGCCTCACTTCGTAGTATCATGAACCAGTGTGGGAGACAGAGAAAAGACTCAACGTATGTCAGTGTAAACTTGCCGCAGTATTAGAAAACATTGAGTTCGAGCCTTGCTGCCAGGAATGTGTGGGTGAGTAATATCACCAGAAGCTGGTGATTGTCTGACCGATATCAGGATGTTGTCCCATGGACACTGTGTCCTGGATTGCATTGTGAATGAATTAATCTTTTGAGTCAAATATACCACATAATTGGCAAAAGACGTGCCATGATGTTCTTTTCATGATGAATTAAACACATATTTGAGAGGGAAAAAAAATCAATGATGTGTATGTGTGTGATTTATATGACTAACAGCTAACACAAGAGTGGTTTTGATTCTTTCAAACTAAAACAGACTTATTTTAATAGTGCATTGTCACATTTGAGCTTCCAAATTTAAGTAATCAGTATCAAGTGTGGTTTTGATTTTTTTTCTGGAGATGCGCGGCAGAAATTCATTTCTCTTGCCATAAAATCTTTATTATTATTAATATTCACCTGAAGATGGGATAGGATTTCGGTTTAATCTTTCATCTGAAGGTCAGCATCTCCGGCATTCTCCCTCGCTCCCTCCGTCTGTGCGTCCATCAGAGAAAGAAGTATCTCCTGGTGTCCTAGCCAACAGTGCCCCAATAAAATTGATTATTCACTTCCTAGCTGATTGTGGGCAATATTGGCTGCAGTGTTTGCTCACAAATACAGTCACCACACTTTACAGTAAATCCTGTGAAGCACTTTGAGGCGTCCTCCTGATGTGAAAGGCACTGTGATAACCAAATGCAAGGATTATTATTGTTATCTCGAATTCAAGATCCTCATCCTCACCTACAAGGCCATTCACAGCCTTGCTCCCTCCTACCTCTCCGACCTACTATCTCCCTACCTACCTGCCCGTACCCTCCGTTCCTCTGGCTCCGGTCTGCTCCACATCCCACGCCCCAACCGCCCTACCATCGGTGGCCGGGCCTTCAGCCTCTCAGCCCCCAGGCTCTGGAACTCCATCCCCCAGTGCCTTCGCCGCCTCCTCCCTTTCCTCCTTCAAGGCTGGTCTCAAGACCTTTCTCTTTGACCGTGCCTTCAGCTCTCGACTCTCTACCCCCTCCTCGCTCCCTCCCTTCCCTCCCCTCACCCTGACCATTTCCCCCCTGCTCGGGTCCTGACCCAACTGTCCAGCGCCATGAACGCCATGAGGACGTCCTCCCGACATGAAAGACGCTCTATAAATGGAATCTTGTTGTTGTATCTGTCCATCATCGCTTTTTTAAACATACAAATTGATTCTGCATCTTGTTGTCATGCCACATTCTCACAACCCTCTTTCGTGAGAAAAATATATTCTTACTTTACCTCCACACAGTTCAGCACGAGTTTTGAAGTCATAGGTGACCATATGTCCTCAATTTCCGGGGGACAGATGAGGTATTGTGTCCCTGGCCAAATTTGCCCAAAGTTCAGAAACAAAGTTAGCAAAAAAAAATCTAAAACACACAACTCATCAGTGAAATACAACCATCAATCCAACAAACTTCCCCAGCACTGCCAGCATCACGAATTGTGGCGAGTTCAATTTTTTTAATGAGCATTCCCGGATATGGTTTACAAAATAGGTCACCCTATTTTAGGACAATATCCTGTTAATCTGATGAAACAATGTTACATGATAGCTTATGGTGTAAAGGGCTATATAAATGCAATTTGTTCTTGCAGGAATGCAACTTTAGCTGGTGAACAGTGTGAGTTGGATCTCAACATCTTTCACATCTAATAACCCGTCCTCGCAAGACACAATTCATGATCGTCTGAGCACAGTAAATATTATAGGATGGAGCAGGGGGTTCGTAATATATTCACATGACAACTGCTAGAGGATGAGTTCCTCAACTTCCCTGCCTGCCCATCCACCTACCCACCCAGTGTTTGGGTTGTTTCATCAAGCTTGACAAGCGCTGCTTCCAGCAGAGAGGCAGCACTTCAAGCTTTCAGTTCAAAGCCCATTTAGAGTTCACAAAAAGTGCATTTCTCAGGCTGCAACGAGACTGGGCCTGATCTGAAACCCAGCCACTGCCAAAAAGGATGGAGAGAGTATGTGGGAGGATGGGAGGGAGGAAGGGAGATCAACAAGAGAGTTACAAGCACCCAGCAGTAAATGGAATTAAATGGTATTAAATTAATAAAAAACAAAATAAAGACCAGGTTCTAGACTTAAGACTGTTTGCAATGTTCACATTTCAGGGCAGACAAGCAACAGCGTTTTGGCAAATTCAATCCTTCTTAAATTAGGAGGCGGCTTTCTGCAGTACTTCATGAGAGATCACAACAGAGGGTTGGATGAAGAAAGCCCCTTAACTCCATTTGATCTCCTCCTTTTGGACAACTCACCCGACCATCCCTCCTATTGCAAACCTGCGGAAAAACAGCTTCAAAATTAATCATAGTGAAGTGAAATTTTTCGCACGCTGAAATGTTAAGTTAAAAGTCCATCTGGATCCCAACAGGAATTATTTCTAACATGAAATTATACCTCCTCGTAGCCTGTCTGACCAGTTTGTCTTAGAATTGAAGATCTCACAGAATTTTGGAGGATTCTTAAGTTCAACCTTAATTTGGATAGACTGGAAAAAAACCAATTCATTTCAATCTTAAATTTTAAGACAAAGTAGTCTTACCGGCTGAGAAGGGAGCATGTGGGATTTTTGCACTATCCAGTTAACTGCCAGGGATATTTCTGAGAGAATACACGGACCGGGGCTAGAAGCATTGCTTCGAATCGTAGATGTCTTGCTGGGTTAGGGGGCTCCCTGGCAAATTAGGTCAATTTCCTTTAACAGCTTGTTTTACGCGGTAAACTTTTCACCAGTGGACTACGCTGACAGCGAAGGACTATATTATGCCAATCTCTTCCTCTAAAAATACCGGTCTGCTCATGGCTTGCTTTATAAGCAGCTGTTCCTGTGGTCACAGACATAATTCAAGTTTTGCAGTATGCAGTGAAAGAAATGGCTATATTGCTTGCGTTGAGTTTCCACAGAACAAGCTGTGGCTCGTTGTATGGCACTATGATAGTCACTTTTGCCCCAGCTGGTAACCACTTCCCCATATGCTCCCTTGGTGGGTGCAGCTTTGTGGCATGTATTCACAGTATGTTCTACATGCAGCCTTTTTCTTTGCTTGTGTCCATAGATAGTGAATCATGGCACAACGGGAGGAGACCAGAATTTACCTACAAATTCGCAGTCATTACCCTTTATAGTAAATCTTGTGAAGCTCTTTGAGACATTATAAGGCGCTACATCAAATATAAGCATTGTTATTAATACATGTAGACTGTGGCTGTTGAAATAGGGTGTTTAACCCTAGCCACCTGTGCTCAGATAATAAGCACATTCATCATTTATCACAGAGCTGTTCCCTTGCAAGGTGCCTGCATTTTAAATATTTTCTTAAATATCATAGTGAAGGCTATGTTATTTATAAATCTGGATGGAATGTTATGTTTGCTTTCACTTTACTATATCATAGCTCTCATAGGTGTGTGTTTGAAATCCTAGCACTGCTTGAACAGAGGAGAATCTGCAAAGGTCCCCTCATTGA